CGCCGGCGCTCCGTCCTCACCTCGGCGAAGGGCTCAAGGGCTTCGGCAAACGGCAGACCGGCTACATCGACCCGCGCGGCGGCTGGACCGAGGCCAACGCCGCCGTCCGCGCCGTCCTCGCCGAGGCCATCCGTCTCGGCGTCAAAGTGGTGCCCCGCTGCGTGGCAAAGGAGCTCCTCTACCACGACCGGCCCTCATCGACAGGCAAGCGGGTCGTGCGGGGCATCCGTTCGGCCGACGGAAAGGAATACACGGCCGACCACACCGTCATCGCCGCCGGCGCGTGGTCACGGCTGCTGCTCCAGCAGCTGCTGCCCGGGTCGTCGATCAACGCGCTGCCGCCCGCCTCGCCGTCGGCGCAGTGCGTCGTGCTGCTCCAGCTGACGCCCGAGGAGCGCGCCGTGCTCAAGCACGCCCCCGTCGTGCTCAACTTTGACACGGGCCTGTACGTCTTTGAGCCGACGGCCGACGGAGTGCTCAAGATGGCCATCCACAGCGCGGCGGGCTACCAGAACCCGGCGCCGCGCCTCGACCTCGAGACGGCCTACCCGACGTTCCAGCAGGGCGAGGAGCGCCACTGCGCCCAGCCGTCGGCCATCTACAAAGAGTCGGCCGACCAGTTCGTGCCGGAGGACAAGGTGCGCACGATGCTCGAGGAGCTCTACACGCTCTACCCGCTCCTCCGCGCCGTACCCGCCGAGCGCATCCGCACGCGCATCTGCTGGTACAGCGACACGCTCGACGAAAACTGGGTGCTCGACCACCACCCGGACGTCGACAACCTCGTCGTCGCCGGCGGCGACAGCGGGCACGGGTACAAGTTCCTCCCGACGCTCGGGCGCCTCGTCGCGGCCAAGCTCGGCGTCGAGGGCGTCCCCGAGCTCACGCCGTACCAGCAGCGCGTCTTTTCGTTTGAGCACCACCGCGAGCTGGCGGAGAAGGTCAAGCGGGGCGAAAAGGTCGAGAGCGCCGATAGCGGGCGCGCGCCTGGTGGCGGCGCTGCTGCAGGCAAGCCGGTCGCAGAGAGGACCATGAGGATGGACAAGTCGGCCACCTCCAAGTCCAACCCGCGTGCCAGATTGTAGAGAAGGTGTCATGCGGATGAGAATCGAAAGAGATTGTCACACGGTCCGGGTGTCTAGAACGAGGCATCGACGGCGAGGCTGTATGAGGTGCGCGAGATGCGTCGGGACGAGTCTGATGGCAAGTGTGGCCTCTTGGAGTTCGTTTTACGTTGATCGTGTCGCCGGAGGAGCAGGCACGCAGCACGCCGACGCCCGCCGGGTCAAGGAGATCGAACCTCGCTCTGTGCTCAGGATCCCCAGCGCCGTCGCGGTCGTCGTCGCTCACCCTGCACCTCCGATACCTGGACCCTTCACTCAGCGCATCCATCGATGAGGTGGCGCCAAAGTCGAAGCTTGCACTGTCCCTGCCTCTCTCAGCTGCGGCGATGAGGACAGATCGACCGTCGCACCGTCTCGACGACCTCGAACTAGCCGCCCTTGTAGCGCCGTCGTCCCGCTGTGCAGTCATGAGCAGCCAGGACTGCTGAGCACCCATGCTGCGATCGCCTCGTCGACTTCTCTGGAATCAAATGAGATATCGCGCTGAAATGCCCGGGCCGCGAGGTGTTGGTGAACCCACGTCGGCGCGGACGGACGCACCTCAGCTCATCAAGGGGTCCCGTTCTCCGTGCTGCTGCTGTCGAGCGACTGATGCATGACATCAACCATGCAGCAGTGTGCAGTGGAACACGCAGCAATGTTGAGACGAACCAGCAGGCCATGCTGAGGTTAAGCTTCAAGATGTTGCAGTCAGTCCTCTGAAATTGTTTCCCTGGACTGATGTTGCAGGACCCTCCTGATGCTCCCAAGACATGTACCACCAAAGACAACAGTGGCATGCCATGTCTTGATGCATCTGACAATGATAGATCACTCACCCCAGCAGTACTGATGAACATGCGCTGTACATCTCTGACCAAAGGTTCATGAGCAGCTTATGGGCTGATACAAGGGCATGTCTGGACAACTAGACCAGGGAAGACATGGGCAAGTACACCAGGCTCAAGGCTCTCTAACAGATGCTTGCCCTTGTAAAGACTAATGTGGGCTCATCAACCCACATGCTCTTCAAAGTCAGCTACAAGCAGACAAGCAGGGCAGACCACTCTTCCTCCATCCATGCTCTCTTCAAGGCACAGTGCATGCAACAGCTGCAGATGCTGTACAAGACACCTACAAGAAGAACAAGGAGGAGCGCAAAGACAGAGGCCTCTGCAGGAACATTGCCTGCACCGGCAAGTACAAGATCGTCGACGGTGTCTGCGAGAACAAGGCTGCACACGGCATCACAGAGATGCACACCCACTCATTCCGCTCCGAATTCCACCTTAAGGCCAACCAGGCCATCAAGAGGATGCTCGACAAGGAGTGGCCACAATGGGGCGATTACGACGCAGACAGGGATAAGCTGGAGCTCGATGACAAGAAGGAGGAAATATACCACCTGTTGGTCAAGCTATACGGCAAGGTAGACGGCAGATGCACTCGCTGTGGCATCAAGCTGCTCGACCACAAGGAGGCCGGTGATGGACACCCTTTCAACAGGGTGTCCTTCGACCGGACTCAGCCAGGCAGCAAGGGAGGGCACTATGAGGAAGGGAACGTCAAGCGTGTGTGTACGGGGTGTAACTGCCTCAAAATGGATCACGACTTGCGCACCTCTTTGTCTTGAAGCTGATCCCTGCCATTCTTGATGCTGATGAGGCAACCCTTGACAAGCAAAGCGGTCTCAATGTCCTGCTACCCTCCAATCAGACCAACAGCAGCAGCTTGAAAAGAAGCACTGCAGCTTAAGCTCAAACGCGCAGCACTATGGAAGGTCTCCCGAGCTGCTGCAGTGTCGCTTCAAGCCCTTGAAGACAAGCGCAGCAAAGATTGACTGATGAACAGTGGTGCTGCAGCAGAGCCGATCGACATCAAAGATTGCTGCAGCAATGCTGTTGCCCAGTCTGGCGTGCACGGCGCTGTCGAGACGGCTAGCAGGCACCTTGTGCTTCGCGGAGCAAGACACGATCGCACTCGTTCTAGCAACAATCCACCACGCACCCATGTTGGACCCGCGCAGAGTGTAGCTGTTCTCGACCTCCTGAAAGCAGCGTGCAGAGCCGCAGAAGACCGACCAGGAGCAGAGCGGCTTGGAACTGAGACTGTGAGGCGCACACGCTCCGTCGCGCCAAGGGCCTCCCGGTCTCGACAGCTGGGCGAGCAGCACGGCTAATGCGGAGCAATTGTGGAGGAAGCAGTTCGGTGCATCTCACAGCCAGTAGCACGAAGGAGGAAGGGAACGCGGCTCCGCGGCTGCAAGAGTCGAAGCAGGCGCACAGCGGCGAAGAGCGAACGCAAGCGCGTCCTCGCCAATGGCCCCGTCCGGGGCCGTCATCCGTTTTCTGCGTTCCCAAGCGCCTACATCGCGAGCGGGTGAGATCGGAACGAGTCCTTCGTATTCGTTTAGAGATGCATTCCTGATCGTCTGGTCATGACATCGGCCGTCGGTCCGAGGTACCGCCGCCGCCGTACGCGTCCGCGGCCGAAAATCCGACGATGCTACCCCGATGCGTCCTCCTGCGCAATCTAGCACGAGATGCCGGCGGGCATGTTGAGGCATCCCTCCTTCTTGACGCCGCCGGTGATGTTGATGTCCTTGAAGGTCCAGTCCTTGCACGTGCCCTCGCCGCAGAGGATAATGATCGGGCTGGCGGTGTCGAGATTCTTCGTCATCGAACCATGGAGGTTCTCTACCGTGAAGTTCGTGATCGTGATACCGTTGGTCGGCGTGCCCGTAGGACCTCCCTGTTGAGATGCAAGAGAAGACGGAGGAGACGACGGTTAGCCTTGCTTCGTCCCGATCGCCCGGGATGCGGCGCGCCACCTCCGCCCGACGCGTCAATTTTGCCACCGCGCCTCGCTCCCCCTCGCCACTTTGCCACCGCCTCCGCAGCCCATACACCATTGCTCCGAAGCTCTTTCTCATCATGATAATCTCGTTTAGGTAGTCTTGGCGCACAGCAAGGCCATAGCCGTGTGTGTTGACCATTTCGATGTCCCTGTAGTGCACGTTTGCGACGGAGCCGGTGGTGTTGTAGTTTGTCTTGATCCTGACGGCGTTTTCGCTGTTTACGACCTTGACCTTTTCGATGAGGACGCCGTCGACGGTGTTTACGTCTCTTCCGCCGACGCTGCCGATCGAGAGGCCGTGGCCGCCCTCGCAGTAGGCGTGGGAGAAGTGGATGTTGGTTCCGGAGCGGATGGCGAGGCAGTCGTCCTGGTTTCGGACGTGGACGTTGCGGATCGTGACGCCGTCGCACTCTCCGACGTCGAATGCGTCGGTGTTGTGGCCGAGGGAGCCTACGTCCGAGTCGAGGCTGGGCGAACCCTCGTCTCCGTCCGAGTTGTCGAGGGTGATGTGGTCGATCTGGACGTCCTTGCACTTGGCGATGTCAAAGGCGTGGACGGGCGTGTTTTTGACGTTGAGGTGCGAGAGGCGGGTGCCGACGGCGTTGCGGAGGTAGAGGAACTTGGGCTTGGCCTTGCCGCCGTTGCCGCCCAGCGTATCCCACCAGCGCTTGCCGTCGCAGTCAAAGAGCGAGTGCGGCGCGCCGCGCACGTCGAGGTGGTTGCCCGAGATGTTGACCAAGGGCCCCTTCCACTCGGCGTAGCCAAACGTGGTGCGGCCCTCGAAGACGACCTTGGTGCCGTCGTTGAGGTTGGTCAGGTCGAGCGTCTTGTTGGCCGGCACGGCCATGTTGGACACGGTGATGGTGCTGCACGCCTTCTTGCCGGCGACGAGGCTGTCGAGGTCGCTGAAGACGCACTTGTCCTTGGCCGCGTGCGGCGCGGCGGCCACAAGCGTCGTGGCGGCCAGGGCGAGGCTGAGGAGTCGGACCATGTCGGGGGGGAGGTGCAGTGTGGCGGAGGAGAGGAGGGGATGAGGGGCGATCTGGTGTCGAGCTGCGGGGTGAGCAGCACGGCGCGTATAAGTAGACTTTCGGCCGCCAGCCTCGCCATGGCACAGCGAGCACGGCGTGGCAGCAAGTCGAAAGCTAGGGGACGACGGCCAAACGACCCCACGTCGATCGAAGGAAGAGTGCAGTGCGGGGTGCAGCAGCGGCCAAGCGGCATGGCCGAGGGGCACCATCGACCGCAGGCCGCCTCGCCACCGCCAAGCGCCGGTCAAGCCTTGGCGTCGAGGGATGTCCGGCTGCGCATCGCACACACACGGACATTGTTCTCGAGCATTCGCCACGGGGATAGGTAGGCGCTAGAGCAGGAACGAGGTGCCTGACACCCTGACTTCGTTAGCGCCATGGTCGACGTGGGGAGTGGACCGCGAAAGGGGCAGCGGCACAGCGCGTCGATATCGAAGCGGGGAGAGGGGTTTCAACCGAGCCGGACATCGAGGTGTCAGCGGACGGGCTCACGTGGGTTGCGAGACTTCTGCTGGCTACAGAGGGTTTCGACTTACCGCAGGCGAGGAGAGGGCGGATCGGGTGGCAAGTGCGACTCTGATAGTGCTGGGCCTGCCTGACTCGCCACACACGCCTATCCTTCTTCGAAACAGACTGTTCCATGGAGAGCTTCTCTCGTTGCAAAGCGGAGGACAAAGGTATCGACGACGACGTGGGGGCAGCATACGTGTCAACGGACCTCGGTGCGCGACATCGGTGGCGAGGGAGTGGGGTGCGGGGGAGAATGCGGGGACAGTGCGGGGCACCACCAGCGAAGGCGTATGGAATCAAAGCTCATCGCCTCGACTCTACTCGACTCGACTGGCCTTTCTGCGCCGTGCGCCCGGCATCGACCTCGCCACGCTATGTACCATGTCCGGATGAACGTGTTCCGAAGCTCGAGCGGGGTCCCCGCTTGCCCCCTCCTCGTCCCCCACCCTGCGAGCGAACGGGCAATCAAAGGGACCGAATGCAATCATCAGCCTGCCGGATCTGCAACGGGAAAGAGGCAGGGGGCGGACAGGCGTACGTACGTGTCGGTGATCTCTTCCGTCGCCGTTGCTTAGCGCCGTTTTGCAAGAGGAGCGACGCACGCGAGCAGGTGGGGGAGGCGGCCAAAAGCGGCCGGCGGGGCGGGCCCAGCGCGGGGCAGTTGGGCCAGCTGTCCACTTTGGCCTGCATGGCATGAATGGCCAGGCGCGGCGGCGGCTTTCCCCACACGAAAAAGTTACGCGCCTCTCCGCCTGCCTGCCATTCGTCCCCGCGCCGCCGGCCGGCAGAAAAGGCAGCCGAAGGGGGAAAACCGAAGAAAATTGGCCGAGGCCGGGGCGGGCGCTGGTCTCGACTGGGCCGCGGCGGCTGCTCGAGCGGAGCCGATGACCTCTGCGCGATCATCTCTCTTCACTCTCCCTCCTCCGCCTTCAGACAAGCACACGACTCTCCATGACCGCCTGGATATCTCGCACGACCCATCCCATTACTCTCAGCATGTCCGGAGATGCCCCTCCGCAACCCAAATCGCTAACCACCGGGCACCTCGTTGCGCTGCACGCCGACGGCGCCGCGTCCGTCGCGATTGCTCTTCATCTCGCCCACCAGATCCTCGTACCAATTCTTGTCGAGCCCGGCCCTCTTGCGGTCCTCGACGTTGAAAGGCCCCTTGAGCCTGCCGATAAAGTTGTGCCTGACCTCCTGGCGAAATACCTGGACCGGGTCCAGCGGCTGCGGCCGCGCATTGGCGCACAGCCACGTCAGCCACCGGTGCCCCGCCGAGACGTGGGTAATCTCATCGAGGTGGATCGTCGTCAGCGTCTCGACGCTCTTGGCGTCGCCGGCGTTTTCAAACTTCTTGATCGTCATCGGGTTGACGTCCAGCCCGCGGCTCTCGTGCACCAGCGACACGACGGAGATGCGCGCCGTCAGCGAGTGCGCCGTCTCCATGGCCGAGTCCCACAGCCCGTGGTGCACCGGCAGCGCGCCAAAGTGGCTCCCCATCTCGCGCAGCCGCTCGTCGAGCAGCGAAAAGTGCTTGGCCTCGTCCTCGGCCACCTTGACAAAGTCGGAAAAAAACTGCAGCGGCATCTTGGGCGCCGGGCCCTCGGCGTCGGCAAAGTACTCGGCGCACAGCCGCGGAGCGCGCGCCATGATGCTGGGAGGGGAGGGTCGAAAAGGGACACGGCGGCCACGTGCGCCAGTATGAGCGTCGCCGCATGAATCATCGAGCGCTGCGTCCACGACTGCAACTCACTCAAACGCCAGGTCGATGGCCCACTGCTCGATGTTGGCGAGCGAGTCTGTCGAGGCGGGCGAGGCAGTCAAGGAACGTGTGGAGTCAGCACGCGGCTTGTGCGCCACATCGCGCCGGGCACGTCACACCTACGTAGCATGGCGATTCGGCTCCGCTCTGTCCCGCCTCGACCACGCTTGCCCTCGGCGCCAGGCTTGACACGGATCTCTTCCTGGAGCCTGGCCGGCCGTTCCGGCGGCGTCTCGGCTTCCGAGACGTGCCACCGCCGCTTCGACGGATCCGCCTCGTTCTGCACCCACCGACCGCCGCCGATGATCTTGCATTCGCCGGAGCGGAAGGCCTGGGCGGCGTAGCGCGTGTAGGCCACCTTCTTGGCGGGCTCGGGCGTGTTGAGCACGAGGACCGCCCATGCCACGAGCGTCCTTGGCGCCGGCGAGGGTGGCGGGATCGACGAGGACGCCGTCTCCACGCCTGTCGGTGGTTCGCTGTGCGGGGCATCTTTCAGGGGCGCCTCGGCGTCGAGGGCCAGCTTTGAGGCTTGCAGGTGCAGCGCCTTGGCGGCGTCCTCCCTTCCCGTGTTGCGAGCGTAGGCTTTGCATCGGGAAAGTATCGTCGACAGCGATTCTGGTCAGTACGCGCAAGGCCTGCCAGGCTAACGAGTCGGCCGCGTGGGACTCACCTTCGCTGACCGGCCTGATCTCGACAATGTCCCAGGCGTCCTTCTTGGCCTCTGACTCAGCAGCTGCGACGTGCTGCGCGGGAGCGGGTGCATCGATCCAGAGCTGGCCATCGTCCCGGACCTGACAAGCGTAGACGCACGCCTTGATGCCGTGGGACGACTCGCCGGTGCGGAGAGAAAAGTCGTACTCGTGCCAGGGGCAGACGACGACAAAGTCCTCGATCTCTTCGACGTCGTCCAACGGCTCGTTTTCCTCGATCGTGGCATTCTCGAGCGGAGCACCGAGGTGTGGGCACGTGGCCTCCATGCAGTAGTAGGCCGACGGGGTGGCGGCATCGGCCGAAGGGAAGCGGAAGATGACTGCGGCGAAGCGAGGCGGCAAGGACACAGCGCTGGTCAGGAGACGGTCGCCAGCAGACTGCGAGGCTCAGCGGCTCCACAGTGTTCGGAATCGGCCGCAACACCCACGGAGCGAATGGTACTCGAGCGTCTGGGCATGTCGCAAGGTGAGGTGGTGACGGGCCGACGCCTCGAGCCTCGAGGTGGGCGCCACCTTGAGCCAGACGGAGCGCACCCCTGCCTGGTCCGTCATAGCCGTCTGCGATACCAGGCGAGGTGAGCGTAAGACGACGCCTGATATGGGTCGCAGATGAGAGTGAAGGGTGGAACGAGCAGGGTAACGGCAGTCGCGGTGGTGGTGGTGGTGGTGGTGGTGAAGAGCAGGAAGGCCAGCAAGCCAGCAGGTGGAGGCAGCAAGAAGCTCCCACGAAAATTGGAAGGAAATTCGTTTTTCGGAACTCGGGCAGCTTCCCCGACGCCCTCTCTTCGCCCGCCCTCGCCCCTGACCTATCGCTCCTCGCCTGCTCGCCACCATCTTCGCCCCCTACGTTCTCCAACCTCTCCTCTGGCTAACCCATATCATCCGGTCGCCCGTCCCTTCTGCCACCAATCTCAAAACTGCGATCGCCATCCGAACTCGTCGCCCCACTTGCCCTGGCCGGCCGGATCGTTGCACGCGCCGCTCGGCGGGGCGTTGCCAAAGGCGTACATCGAGCAGAACGAGTTGGACGCCTTGTTGTTGATGAAGCCGATGGTGTAGTACCCGTTGTTGATCGAGTTGGCCGTCTGCAGTCCCGCTTGCAGCGTCTTGCCTTGGCCTGTATGTCGTGTGTCGGGAGGCAGAGTGTCAGCAACTGAAGTTCTGTCCGGAGTCGACCCCCTCCTTCGACCCTCTAATGCGACACTCACTGCTGTTCTGGCTGGCCGGCACGCAGCGCGTGGCGATTCTGCTCGAGTCGTTGTTGTCGTAAGCCGCCTGCGTCGAGGCAAAGGGGAACTGATGGGATGCGGCAGGAGCATGGTGGGGAGTAGAGGATCGGGCGCAGCGTCAGTCGGCTGGCCTCACGCTTTTCCTCGAGATCTCTCTTCCCCTGCTCCCACGTCTACAGGGATGCTCACCTCGTCGCAAGAGTCTGGAGGAAGCGCAGGACGGAGAAAAAAGAAGCAGAGACGGCAAAGCGAGGTTTCTCAGTCAAACGTGCGCATCGGACCAGCAGGAAGGCTGCGGCACCGCTGGACGACTCACATCCGCCCGGGTTGGAGCGATCCGTGGGCCACACGGTGAACTCGGCGGGATAGCGGCTCGAGCAGTAGTTGGGGTCCTCGAGCTTGCACCGGTTGCGCTTTCGCAGGTCATTGCAGCCCGTGCCGTTCTTGCGGTACCGCTGCGCCAGCGAGTGGCCCTTGCAGTAGAGGCCATAGCACCTGAGGTGATGGGGTGCGGCGCGAGGGGGAAAAGCAATAAGACCGGGCGGCGGCAGGGCAAGCGCTTGGAGTCAGCATGCGGGTTCGAGGCCTCGGACATCGGCAGCGCCGACCGGACGATCGGCTGCCACGTACATGTTCTCGCAGACCTCGGGGATGACGCTGCAGTCGAAGTCGATGTGGACCGAAAGCCTCTTTTCGTGCCTCTCGAGGCCCCTGGCGGCCAGGGTGTTATTGGCGCCGAGGTCGATGTTGACCACGACGTCACTCGCCTTCGGATGCAGCATCCGCTCGTGTTCGGCGAGCAGGCTGAAGTTGTGCGGCCGGCCGCGCTCGATGTCCCATTGCGTCTGCGCGACCGGGCATCGTCTCGCGGAGGCTGTCAGGTCCATGTTTCGGCGCCAAGTTCACGGACCTGGGCGGCATAGCACTCACCCTGTTGAAAAACACCCGGACGGCATCGCCCTCGGCGCCGCCAAAGTGGTAGCCGGACGTCAGGAGGTTGCGGTCGACCCAGTCCTGCATCGCCAGGTCGCTCTCCGACACCTCGTCGTCGTCGCGCTGGTCGCGCTTGGCGTCGGCCTCGTATCCGTCGCCGCGCCTGGTGAGCGACGTTGCCGTCGGGCAGCCTGAACCGTCAGACAGCGGGCACGTCTCCTGGTTGAGCGGCTTCTGGGCTCCGATGTGGGAGCCCGAGTAGTCGGTGTACAGCTGGTTGCACTGTCGAGGGAGCAGGCGGTAGAAGGGTCCCAGGCGGTGTCAGACCTCGCGGATCATGCTTTGGCAAAATTCCGCCTGTCAGGCTTACCTTTTCGGGCTCCGGCTCGGGCTGGTCGGTTCCGCCGCCGGTGCCGCCTCCGCCCGTGGTCGGGGGGATGACGGGGGAGGAACAACTGGAGGGGGGACGACGACCGGGGGAGGAACGACGGGCGGCGGGATGACCGGTGGAATCACAGTCGGTGCCTGCAGACAAAAGGTCACATCGGCCAGAATGGAGCCCGTCAGTCACGGCAACCGATTTCCGGCTCTGTCAGGAGCCCCGTGGCGACGCTCACCTTGCCCGCGTAGTGGAGCCAGTCGTTGAAGTTGCGGTAGGGGATGACGCCGTCGCGGCACTGGTCACCGGTGCAGAAGCCAGTCCACTGGGCGATGGGCTGCCACCAGACGAGCGCATCGGCGTCGCGGATGCCGAAGCCGTACTGGCCGTAGAACTGGAGCGACCCGATAAACCAGAGCTCGAACGAGTCAAAGGTCATGCCGCTACCGCCCGCGGCGGGAAGCATCTTTGCCCAGATGGTGTCGGCCAGGCTGTCTTCGGAGGCCGGGTCGACCGACTTGCCCTGGTCGCCAATCTTCTGGAGGAAGGGGGTGACTCCATTGCAGGTGGCCGCGGTCACGCAGCTGCGCGTGGCCCACAGCGACTGGACTGGGGTCTGCCAGATGGCGAGACGGATTATGGCGAAGGCGTGCCTTTGGTCAGCTCATCGTCTCGTAGATCCGATGGGTGTACTTGGAGATGAAGAAGGCCGGGAAAGGCAAGCAACGCACCTGTCCGTTGACGACACGCGTGACACACTTGTCGGTGATGTAGTCGCAGGGGTTGTCTGTGACGCTTCGACGGGGCAGCTCGAGGCCGGCCTGGCCGTTCGAGGGTGCCTTGAGGGGTCCCGCGGCGGCCAGCGGAACGAGGCCGGCCAGGAGCCAGGGCGAGATCGAGGGTCGCATGCTTGTCGGCGATGTGCAAGAATGGAAGAGAAGGAGGGGGAAAAGGATGGGGATCAAGAGGACTCCAAGGACGAACGGTGCCGCGCTGCTTCTTAGTTATAACGGACTTTCCGGGCCCCTCGGACGTCCGCCGGCTCCTTGACATGTCTGAAAAGCAGGAGACACGTCGTCGAGGCCGAGACTGAGACACGCTACAGCGCTCGAGACGCGAACTGTCCGCTGCCGGTCTTTTGCTCAAAGCCCTCGACCGTAGTGGCCGGGAGCGGGCCGAAGCCGACGCTACGAAAAAGCCGGCCACGGCTTGCCAGGTCCACGTTCGCCGTCTGGGACTTGCTCGCTCGGAGCGAGGCGGAGTCGCAGCTGCTGGAACATTCCGCGTCTGCGTTCTTCTTGACAAGAGATGCGGCGTAGCCTCAGATCTGTTCCTGACCGCCGAGCGGGTGGGAGTCGAGGAGCGCGGCCAATCAGATGCCCGGGAGGGGCGGGGGAGAACACCGCCGCCGAACAGGTCTGTCGAGGAGCGAGGACCGGATTCAGCAAGCGAATCTTTCGACGGCCGATGCATCGGAGGCCTGCGATGCGACGCTTTCCACGAGCGGACGTCGGCAGAGGTTACCTGCGCTGGGCTGGGAGCTGCTCCCCGAGAAGACCAGGCCTGGCCTTCGGTGCCAAACCATGGAATTGGTTCGATCCGACGGCGGCAGTACCGCAGAAGGCAGACCCGGCTCCTGCCGGTGTGTGGATTTCAGCTCATGCGGAAGGGTGCAAAGAAGGCCTCTTGATGGTGCGAAGATGCAAGCCGGCCATGGTCATTCAGCTGTCGGCTTAGCCACGCCACTTTCACCACTCTTTGACGGCGGGCTAGGCCCTACCTGCAGCGTTTGCACCATGGCGAACGGCCCACTCCGGCCCGCTTCCGACGACGACCGAAGCCGAGCGGCAAATCCGAGCCTCGCTCAGCGGCTAGGGCCTGAGATCTGCGCCCGTCGTCCGTGGAGTTGCAGCAGCTCGTCGAGGGCTTCCAACGGGACGGTACCTGCGTTGGCAGCTCGTCGCGTCGTCGCCGGAGCAGGCCGCGCAACCTACCGCTCGCTTCCCACGCAGCCCCGCAGCTTTGCGCTCGCTTGTGCATAAATGGACAGCTGCACCGAATCCACGGCGCCGGCTAGCATCCGACCGAGCCAGCCAGCCAGCCAGCCGCCTTTTCTTCTTCTCGTCAAGCAGCCCGGGTTGCGCCAAGAGAACCTCTCTTCCCTCGCGAGCTCAAGGAGCCGGTGGCGAGGTACATCGTACGATTCGAATTGAAGGGAGCGACCTGCCGTCTTCCTTTGCTTGCAGATCTCGCTCCGAACCAGATGCAAGAAGTGTCGGAGAGAGGATCCGGTGAGAACGAACTGGGAGCGACCGTCGAGCAGCCGGACAGGAGCGCAGGTGGCGAAAGCTTGCGGTCCCTCTGCTGTCCCACGCTCGGCGCTGGGCAAGACTTCAGTACAGCAGCCTTCGAGGAGACTCACCTGACGAGGAGGACGAGAGCAGACGGCTTCGACCCAAACGCGATGCCGCGACGAGAGGCGCTCACGAAAAGCCAGCAGCGCCAACATCGTATCGTGGGAGCGGACCATAGCCCCGGCGCCGTCGAAGGGATGCTGTCCCCTGCCTGATCGATCCCGCCCATAAGTACCGCTGGGTTGGGGCCATACCTTCCACCCACCTCCCTCCATCCACTCTGATCCACACAAGCGCAACAGACCAACGTCAGTCAACGCCACCATGAAGCTCACCAGTATCCTTTCCGTGGTCGCCCCCCTCGTGGCCTCTGCAGCTCTTGCGCTCCCCTCGCCCAGCAAGGGAGCAAACGACGTCGGCGCGACGGTGCGCCAGGCCCAGGGATCGCCCGAGGCGCAGCGCGAGGGCTGGGGCCGCCACTCGACGTTCTACAACGCCACGACCGCGTCGTTCTACACGGTCGAGACCGACAGCGCCGAGGCCGCGCTCGGACGTCACCTTCTGTCGACGGGCGAGATGAAGTTCCCGCCTTCGCAGCTGACCGAGGAGGAGACGCGCGAGGCCCTGGCCCGCCTCTTCCCGGAGTCGCTCGAGCGACGCGGCACCGACACCAACTGCAAGGGCTCCTCGATGTGCTCGTCGTGCTGGGGCAGCGCAAGGGGGATCCGCAACCAGATGTGCTCCAACGGCGTGTGCCGGACGGGCATGGCAGGCACCCACGTCCGCACCGACTGCAACGCCTTTGGCCAGGGCCTGGCCCTCTTCACCAACTTCAATTACTGGGATGAGGGCTCTCTGATTGGCGATGTCGACGATATCCTCAACCACAACTGCAAGAAGTGCGGCAGCACCAACGCCGGCGATGGTCGCGGCCGCGTGACCATCAACTACGTGTCGCAGTGCTAGGCGCAAGCTCCCGGTGCAAACGCCGAGGTGATGCACGGATCGACGGTACGAGGATGCAGCCATGCCAGCAACGTCAACTCGGTCTGTGGTCGAGCGAGCGTCGAATGCTGTATAGAGAAGCCGCAGCCGACGGCAATGATTGTGGAATCGAGCGGTGTGAAGTCTCGGACATGCCCCCTTCCCCGCGGAGAACGCCTGCCTGGGGCTCGACGGTGGCGAGTTTCGTCGATCTCGAAAGGAAACAGATGCCGACCGAAGATTGCGGTCCACAAACACCAGCGTATGAAAGCGGAGACTCGATCCTGCCACCGCTGCCGGCTGTCGCGGTCGCAATGGCTGTGTTCATACCGTACCGAAAGGGGCGATTCGGAGGCGGAGCTCGTGGTGGCTGCACGGCGAGCAGGAGAATATTTCATGCGGAAGGCTGCAAGAGAAGCCTCTGACAGGTGCGGGCGCCAGGCAGGGCAGCGGCTCCCCGTATCAGCTGTCACGGCCCGGCTTCAGCGCGGTTCTTGGTCCATGCCGAACTCCGCTGCTTCGAATGGAGAAGTGCATGTTCGGGGTCAGAAAGGGTCGGACCAGGCCGAAGCCGAACGGAGCCCCCATTCAGAAGTCGCCTCGGAACTCATCCGGGCATCCCGTTTCGTTCGTCTGATCCCGGCACTGCCTCTTCGCTTGGGTGTTTGCTTGCACGGCGACGCAAGCCACTCCCGCGCGCAACAGCGCAGGCGACCAGAAGAGTCGGCGACAGATTGAGCTCGCCTCGCGATGGCCTGCAGGCTGACCACCTGTTTCGGTGCCACGGAGCAAGATCAGCGACGCAGGCACCAAGCCAAGAAGGGTATCGGGCCGAAGCCGAACATACACCAGCGAGCGCTCACCTTCCCGGAGGTGCCGGGAGCTGCCTCAACTTATACGCGACCGGCCGATCGGCCGAAGGGCCAGGAGGCGGTGCAAAGCCATCTTCCTGTGACTTGCTACATCGCCCTGGCGCCTTTGCAGCAGTCCAGCTCGCCGTCTAGCAGCACACGGCCCGCGCGGGCGGAATCGACCGGTAGCTGGGCCAACCGGAAGACGATGACGAGACGGACGAAGGCGTAGATCACGGACTCGAAGAGCTGGGCCTGGTGTTTCTTCCAGACCGCCCTTGACGTCGGCGAGAGCACTGCGACCAAGCTCGGCCGAGGGTCGTCTAGTGCGGAGGGACCGAGGCTGAAGTGTCGAGTCTTGATGTAGAGCTCGAGAAGCAGCGAGCGCCGAGAGACCCCGTTGCGCGCCACTGACCTCAACAGCGCGCTATCACCGCGTATAACGCAACGGTCCGCCTCCTGGCAATCCTGGCGGCCCAGCTCGCCTCCTCGACAGCGAAACGTCCCGCAACATCGCTCCATCAGGTTCCCGAGCCTCGACTGACCGAAGGGAAGACCAGCAAGGCACTTGCGAGGCTCTTTCCAAAGGTACAGGGGCCGCAGCGACGCGACAGCGAGCCGGCACCCACATCCGCACCGACTGCAACGCCTTTGGACAGGGGCTCGCGCTATTCACGGACCAGGGCTACTGGCTCGAGGACCATGTCATGGTGGACTTTGACGGCATTCTCAACCGCAGGTGCAAGAAGTGCGGTAGCACCAATCGCCACGATGGGCCTGGCCGCGTGACCATCAACTACGTGTCGCGTTGCTAAGGGGCGGGCAGCGAAGCCCTCGACCGCGATGGGGGCGACCAAGCGTTTTCGATCAGAGAATGTGGCGATGACGAGCCATTGTGACGGAAGTCAGGGTGTTGTGGCGGAGACGCAGCAAGGCTGTCGAAGGACGACAATGGTGGAGATGGTGGTGGCGGTGGTGGCGGTGGTGATGAGAACCAGCACATGCCACCCATGCCAGACCAGCGCAGGCTGAGGCTGAGGGCGTTTAATTGGACCCTAGCCAGGGCGGTTGAATTCACGCGCGGGCGCCGCTCTAAAAATTTAAGCTTTTCTGAAATGCGCGCGTCGAGTCCAAGGCGCCGCGCAATACAACCTGTATCGAAGCACTTGAACAGTCCTCAAGCGCGCCGGAGCCAAGGGGAAAGCAGGCCAGGCAAGGCGGCTCTGGCCTGACCAGCCCATGTGTTGGTCTCGGACGCAGGCAGGCAGGCAGGCAGGCAGGCAGGCGGGCGGGCAGGGCGCGGCGGGCGAAGCGCGTGTCAGGGCCAGCTGCTCCCACTTTCACTCACTCACCACCACCACCACCATCCCTCCATCACCTCCTTCAGCGCCACCGCCGTCGTCAGCGGCCGGCATCATCGGCGTCGCTTGCGGCCTGCTCATTCTAACCGCGGAGCGTCCGCGCAACCCCACCTCACTACGGCCGCACCGGAGCCTCGCTTCGCCGCTCCGCCCTCCGCCGCTACGCCAACCTTCCGGCCCTGACCGCTCGCGATCGCTGTCCTCGACGATTTGCACCTCCTTTGGAGGCATCGACGCTCCTACCGTCCATCATTGCTTCTCCAGCCGATGTTTGCCGCTGCATCCTGAATTCCTGCTGCCGCCAAAGGGGAACCCGCCTTCGACCGCAAGACGCCCCTGATGACTTCGCCAAACAGCCGCTCCCTTCGCTGCTGAGCGATCATCGAGCCTTTTGCGACCTCTGCTGTCGTCCACTCATCGCCCAGCTATCTCACACCCGACAATCCGCCCGTGCTGGCCACGGCAGCTTGCATCACTGGCATAGATCCATCTCGATACCTTCCCTGGCCTCTCAACTCTGCAGACTCGACCCTCGCCCAGCATGGCCAGCGCATTCACCAAGCTCTTCCTGCCGAGCCACCGCAAGCGCAACAGCATCAGCTCGGCCAAGCGGCCGGAGACGCAGCCTGCTTCTCTACAGCCCCCTCAGCATCCACCGCCCTCGGGCCGCAAGAGCTTCGCCAGCGTCCGCCCCAGCTTCCAGGCATCCATCCAGGAGGACGAGCCGTCGCAGTTTGGCCTGCCAAGCCGGCACCATGCCGGCTTCCTCACTACCGATAGTCTCAATGCTCCGCACATCCCGCCCGCAGACGACCTCACAGCACGCAGGGACTCGTTTGGCTTCGACCCAGACTGTCGTCCCTCGGTGCTGCCTTTGCGCGATAGCGACCCTGCGGCCCAGCTCAGCGACTGCGACGCGGTGCAGGCGCCATCGATAGCAGCAGCGTCCGCGTTCGACAACGCCTGCCGGCCACCCGAGGATGACGACGACGACCTCGACGACAACCCCATCTTTCTACGACTTTCCGAGGATGTCAGGCTGCAGCCCGACTGGGACGCCGCGCGCCTGGTCCTAGTCCCGCTGTGCCGCTGCCTTCTCATGGCGGAGCTCTCTGAGCAAGCTTGCCTGGAGGACGACACCTACATCGCGCTCCACGCGTTCGCCCCGTCAAGGCTATTCAGGGATCAGTTTGCCTCGGTCCGCTCCACGCTCACTGACCGACACTCGTCCAAAGCCGAGACCTCCTCGGCGTCGCAGGACCCAGCGCAGTCGACGTCGGAAGCTTCTGAGCTTGGGGCGCAGCGAGGATCCTGGGACCAGCTGGCCATCACGGCGACTCTGCTGCCAGACCAGCGCGCCGTCAATGTCTCAATTTCTCGATCCGCATCGGCATCGTCCAAAGCCCATGGGTATGGCCCTCTACAGACGCCACGAAGCGAAGAGCGGAAGCTGCGGATCGTCGCAGAGACGACAGTCTATCGGACCGTGCCGGTCGCTCCGGACCCCCAAGCCCCGATGATCTCGCCCGTTCGACCCTCGGCTTCTTCGGGCTTCGAGGTCGTCAGCCGCGCCAACCCAGCCAAGCCACCGCCGAAGCAGGAGAAGGTCAAAGTTCGGGTGATCAGTGTCGACGAGGTCCTCGTGCCTCCGTCGATGGCACCGTCCCACTCCGACGGGGGCAGTGCCTTGGCAACGCCGTCCTCGGCCGCAGGCGGCAGCGGCACCCAGCATCTGCAGCCAGGCAGTGTCGCCTCCCGCAACGTCAGCCCGTCTGGCTCCATCGCTTTCCCCTCGGTCGAAAGGCAAGAGACGGAGCCAGCGCCGAGCAGCATTGACATGTCACGCCAAGCCTCGGCCTCTTCCCGCTGTGCTGCACAGGCCGGAAGCGCTGACGACGATGCGCCAATCGACATTGCTGGCGACTTGACCATCTCGAGCGTCGCCGCCGGCACTCTTTCCGACGCCGTGCTCAGCGCCATCCCCGTAACCCGGTCCTTTGCCATGGATCTCCGCCTGCTCCTCTCCCCGCCCACGGAGCTCACCACCTTGGCTGCTCCGTTCGCCGCGGCCTTCGATGCGCTCTCCTCTGCGGCCCTCGAGTTCTGCTTCGCCTTTGTCTTTGTCAAGGGCTTTGAGCAGTACAACGTCAATCGCATCCGGCGCGGCATCTTCCAGAAGGCGTGGCGGGTGCTGCTAGAGACGTTGGCAGCCGAGCGTGGCAGGGGAAGCCAGGGCGCCGCGTCGACTCGACCATCCGAACTCTCCTCGGACGCTTCGCAGCGCCTGCAGGAGGTGCTCGAGAACGTGGTGCTTGGCTACGTGCACGACAAGGTGTATGGATCCGCGGCCGATCAGCTCGCCGAGGTGGATCAGAGCCTCGAGGAGCTCTTGGCGCTGTACGAATCGTGCGGCGTCAGCCTGGTCGAGCTCGGCGTCTACGTGCCCACGCTGCGGCACCGCCCGGGCAGGCTCGAGGGGGCCGTCATGACCCTTCGCAACGGCCTGCTTGCGCATCGCCCAGAGGAGCTCGACGACGCTCTCGCTTCGGCCGATCGTACCGGACTGTTGCAGGTCCTCGACGCCGGATGTCCCCGGGACGACCCCGACAGCGCCTCCGGATCGGATTCAGGCCTCGATCTGGCCTGCACCATGGCCGCCAGCCTAGACCTCGCAGCGCATCCACCTCGGGCGATCAAAGGCTCAGGGTATCCTCCCATCAACGTCCGCACGCCGCGCGAGACGATGCAGGCGCTCAAGGCGACGATCGACGAGGTCGGCCTTGCCGTGCAGCGGTCGCATCTGGCTTCGAGCCGCACCAGCCTCGCAGCCACCCTCGAGCAGGCACCGCTCCTCAGCACCGACGACCTCCTTCCGGTGCTCGCTTACGTCGTCATCAAGGCCCAACCAGCGAAGCTCGCCAGCTGCCTCCACTACGCCAAGACTTTCAAGCTGATCGAGCCAGGTCAATTCGATCTGAGGTGAGTCTGCCGCGACGAGCCCCCGTCCTGCCAGCTCGACTGACTTGGGTGCAACGAGCTCACTTTCACTTCTCCGCCTCCTCCATAAACGATCAGCTGGGCGCTGGTGACTTTCGAGGCGGTGGTCGAGTACCTCAAGGGCGACCCGCTCGGCCTGCGGCGAGGCGGCGCCACGACCCTCGATGCCTTCGGCTTCCGCACCGGCGGCACCGCTTCCCGCCACGGGTCGATCGGCGATGCATCGATGCGCTCGCTCCCTTCTCGCCACAAGCTGTCCTCGGGCACGATCGCGGCGGCTTCCCAGTACCACACCGTCAGCATGTCGCGTCAGAGTTCCGACGCACGCGACCGCCGGGCCTCGATGCCGCTCGGCTCGCCGGACGGCACATGGTCGCCCACATCGCCCATGTCGCCCTCTGGCAGCAGCAGCGGTGCGCCCTTTCCGGCCAATGGCTTGGGCTATTTTCCTCGCACTGCTGCCCCCGCCGCCGGTACCGCCGATCCGAGCACTCAGGCCTCGGATCCGGCGTTTGACGGTGGCGCGAGCCCGTTGCTCCACCAGGATGACTTCAAGATGCCGGGGATGCCAGCGAGCAGCGTCTCTGGGCGTCCCAGCAGCCGCACCTGGCACCGACCGGGATCCTTCTACGGCAACGTCGATGGCAGCGCAAGCCGGGACACGCTGGCCGATTCGCCGCGCACAGGTCCGCAGACGCAGCCGCTCAGCCGGCAGTCGAGCACGCGTAGCCGCACCATTTCGCTCAACGCCGGCAGCGGCAGCGAGCTGCAGATTCGACCGCAGATCGTGCGGTCCGGGCGTCGCCCTCACGGCGCGTCGGTCTCGCAGATCGACCTGTCGCAGATCGGCCCCTCGATGGAACGATCAGGAAGCTCGAATGGCGGCCGCAGCGTGCGCGTCGTCGGCAGCCCATCGCTGGCCACCGCCTCGCCGCCCACGGCCAGCCGCCGCAAGAGCATGGACTCCTGGACCGCCCTGTCGATCTTTGGCGGCGGCTTCGGCGGTGGCGTCAGCGGCAGCGCTGCGAGGTCCTCTTCATCGGAAGAGCGGGGATCGCTCGATGTGCACAGCGACGACCGGCCCGTCGTGCGGCGCGTCGGTGCAGCGCGGCCGCACAGCTTTGCAGAGTCGGCCGGCTCGTCGGACGGCAACGGTTTCCAGGGCAACGCGTCGTCCTCGAGCATCTCCTGGTTGCCCTGGGCCGCAGAGGGCGGCTCGAATCGGCGTCCTGGCACGCCGGGAACGAGTTCCATCGCCTCGGCCGAGGGCATCCTCGATTCGGCGTCAATCTACTCGGGAGTGACCCGGTCCGCGTCCGGCTCAGGCTTCGCCAGCATCCACGCCGCCGTGGCGCAGCAGTCGCAGTCCTCGTCCGCCGAGACGCCTAGCTCGGCCGGCGAGCCTGGCACGCCCTCGATTGGCGCTTCCCACTCGCGGCGTGCGCCGTCGATTCGTTCCAACTCTTCCCTCTCGTCGGCACCGGGCGCCGATGACCTGTCGGCCGCTCTCGCCGAGGCCGCCGCGACGTCGCCGCACACGATGGCGGGCCAGCTGCAGGCGGCGCAGTCGACGTCGCAGCTGCGCGTGCCTTCGAACCGCAAGCGGTACCGCGCGCGGTTCCTGTCCAATGCCGGATCGAGTGCGCCGGCTGCGCCCTCGCCTGCCACTGTGACGCGTGAGGCTACGGCCGGCGACATCCATCGTGCCGGGGACCGGAGAAGCTTTGGATCTCTAAGCGCCGTGATGGCGTCGGACGCCGTGGCGGCGGTTGCCGCATCCGAGAGCTCCTCACAGGCTCTGGGTCAGATGTTGTCGTCCTCGACGACGCCGGACGTCGAGGCGCACGCCTCGCCCATCGTCAGCGGCCACCTCGATCCGACCTGGACGGCGCGCGACGACCGGCTGATCCCGCCCTTTTTCCGCCTGCAGGTGCCGTCGCCGGTCAAGGAGATTTCGGACCCGCTAGCCACGCCTTCGCCGACGATTGCCAGCCCGACTCCGGCAGGCGGCCACTCTCCGACGCTCGAGCTGCGCGGCAACCCCGCCTTGCCGGGCGCCGCATCGTTGCCGTTGCTTCTCTCCAACAACAACACCAACATCACGTTGGAGGGAGCGCTCGGAGCGCAGACGGCCGCGGGCGACAAGGAAAACGGCGGCGGCGAAGGACCGGTCCCGACGCCGTACCACACGCCGGCCGAGTTTGACCTGGGCATCTTTGCCGACATTTCGTCGAGCGCCAGCGTCAATGCGGCCACGACGACTTTACTCGACTCGCACTCGCCCTCGCCCTCGCACTCGCACCAGGCGCCGGGTCTGGACCTGTCGAGCCTACTTTCGCACTCGCACTCGACTTTCAAGCGACGCGCGGCGAGGGGCGGTCCAGCCTCTGCGTCGTCGTGAGCCGTCCTCCCTCTCGTTCAACAAAAACACACAGCGTGGCTCGGAGCGGGGCGGCCGAGGAGGCGACTACCGGCTAGTCGACTCCCCCCCTTTCCCTTTCCCTTATCGTCCCACGGCGACATCCTATCTCAGATACCCGACGCGACCGACGCCTTTTCACATACGACGTCTGCCTCCCTCATCCGTTTTATCACCCACACTCTCTCATTCTGTCTACACCGCATCGATGCATCGTCTCCACCGCCCTCTCTGTCTTCATCTCCATCTTCGAGCCGATCCGTGCACCAGAGGACGACGAGGTATCATCATACCAGCCCGACCGATCCCATCCATCCATCCCTCCCCGTTCCGTAGGCAGACCAATCGACCTGTCATTGACCGCGCGTCTCCACCTTCCCTTTCCTTTCCTTCGGCTGTTGTCGACCCACCTCCCTCCATCCCTCCGCTGCCAGCCTGTACTTGTAACCACCAGCTCTCCCCGGCAATCGTGCCATCCACCGGATCGATCCCATCGCATCCCATCGCATCAGGCCCCAGGCGCCGTGTGGGTCTCACGCGGTCAATCACTCGAGCGATGCAGGGCGAACACACGTCGGATTGCGATCAGGGACAAACGGGAGTGGGCGAGTGCGTGCGTGCGAGACGGGAGAACGACTGGGTTTGGACTACAGCGGGGGCGTGGCAGCGGCGTCGATGGCGCCGACGACGGCTGGGAGGGGTATGCGGATGTGGGTGGTGTTACAGATGCGGTGCGGTGCGGCGCTGCGGCTGCAATTGCTGCTACAGCGGATGAAGATAGGGGCGAGTGAGGGAGCCGGGAAAGAGTAACCACGAGAGCCGAGGCAGAACACCGCTGCCGTCAATGGTGGGGGCGGACCAGAGCTATGGGACCGGAGACCTTGAGCGCCGGGTCGAGTCAGGCTCCGTCGGGGCCGTTGCTGTTGCTGTTGCTGCTCAACGAGGCTGGCGGGCGATAGACGGCGCGTCACTCTGGAGGGTGCGTCCGACCGCCGTAGCTGCGCGGGCCTCGCTCACTCGATGGTGATCTGGCGCGTCTTTGAGATCTCCTCCGACTTCTTGGGGATCTCGAGCTTGAGCAGGCCGTCCTGGAAGCGCGCCTTGAGCGCCTTGTCGTCGGCCAGGTTGGCGTTGGTGGGCAGGGTAAAGGAGCGCGAGAAGCTGCCGAAAACGCGCTCCTGGACGAGCGGAGTGGCCAGGCGGCCCTCGGTGGCGGACTGCGTGGCCACCTCCCTTGCCTGCTCAGTCTTGGCGGCGGGAGCGGTGGTCGCCTCCTTGGCCTGGCCTTCACCCTCGGCTCCGGCGGCGGCGGGGGCGGGGGCCGCGGTGCCGCTCGAGTACTCGGACCTGATCTGGCCCTCGATCGTCAGCCTCCTGCGGTCCGGGTCCGACGAGACGCGGATGTCTTCGCGCTTGCAGCCCGGCAGCTCGGCGACGACCTCGTAGCTGCGCTCCGTCTCGTGGACGTCGATCCTGGGGCCGCTCCACATGTTGTCGTTGCGGAAAAAGTCGGACGCGGGGCCGCCGCCCGAGGTGAGCAGGCTCGAGGGGAAGCCCGAGCTGCGCAGGCCGCCGCCGCCAAAGAACGAGGGGAACGTGTCAAAGTCGGGGAAGCCAAAGAGGGGCGAGGAGCGGAAGAGCGACATGGTGGCGGGCGTCGTCGAGAGGGTGCGCACGGCGAGGTGGCGGGGAGCGGGCGAGGCGCGAGGGAGGCGAGCGAGGGTGGGCAGGCGGCGGACGCTGGCGCTGTTGGGCAGGGGAAGGCGAAGAGTCTGGCGCATCAAAGACGTGGAGGCCGGTAGAGCGGTGTGCGTGGTGTGCTTGCGGGCGAGCTTGATGTGCGCTGGGTGCGTGCTGCGTGGTGTGCGTGAGGATGAGCTGCTGTGTGGTGCGATGTGGTGTGGCGAGAGAGGAAAGCGAGGCGAGAGGGAGGACGGCGAGGGATGGCCTGGTCTTATACCTTTGCGGTGGTTGGTGGCGCGTCGTCTGGCCCGTCGCTGCCTGGCGACGTGGCTTGGCCCAGCCCTGCTTCCACCAAAGGCTCGCCCGTCCGTCTGCCTGCCTGCCACGTCCTGCAGCGCCACGGCGGGTCACGCCACCTCGACATGCCCGGCCTGGTCTGCCTAGCCTGCCTGCCTTCTGCGCTGAGCTGGTGGTGGAAGGGCCGCGAAGCGTCTGGACGCTCACGATGGTGAATCAGCGACTCAGCACTTCGGGGCCAGTCCGGCCAGGCCAGGCCAGCCAGGTGGGGCGGCCAGACACGCGCGCGTGTGAGCGAGGCTGGCCGGCCTGCTGGGCCCGCCTGGAAATTGCCAGAAGGGTCTCCGAGCTTCCCCGCGCCGCGCCTGGCAGCTTCCAGCAGGGTCCAGGCCGGCCCGCCCTGGACTGGCTTGGCCTGGCCCGGTGCGCACGGACGCGCTTTCGAAATTCGAGCAGAGCCAGGCAGGCAGGGTCCGGCGGTCAGCCGGTCAGGCGGGCAGCAGGGCTGGCCGCAGGCAGACCAACACCGGCTCAGCCCTGCCTGCCGCACCGGCCCGTTTCCGACGTTTCCGCGCGTGAACCTCACACAGCCCAGCCCAGCCGAGCCTGCTTCGAGCCTCTTCGACCAAGGCTTCGCTGGCCAGGCCTCGTCGTCGGCCCGCGGGCCATCCGCGACATGTCTGCGGTCTCCTCGCGAGCCAAGGACCACCATCACGCTCTCTCTCTCTAATACCTCTGCCCGACGTTGCCACATCGCCGGTCGATGATATCTGCAGCTCAAAATCAAACATGCAGGCGCCTCGAGCCGTCGCGCGAGACCACGGAACCATCCGGATCATGCTGTGACGGTTTGCGAGCGCGGCAGTCCTACATACGCAGCAGCTTTTGCGCCCCTTCTTCGCCCAGCACCGCCACCGCCACCTCCAGCGCACCTGCGCCGGTCTCGGCGTCAGAGATGGGGGACCGCACATCGAGCGGCCTAAGGTTCTCCTTGATGTGCTTCCACTCGAGCCGGCAGCGCAGCAGCAGCTCGTACCCGACCTGAAGGTGCGCCAGCCGGACGCCCGGGCTCACGTCGAGGCGGACCGCGCCGTGCAACGTCGACGTCGAGACCAGGTAGCCCGCACCGGCCGGCGGGAGCTTTGGCACAGACTTGGGAAAGAACCGCCGCGTCTGCGACGATGTTGCGATCGGCCTCGGCGCGGCGCCGCTCGCGCTTCCCTGGCCGCCGTCGTCATCCTGGCCTGCGGCGCCACTGAAGCAACGCTCGGGATCGAAAGGTTCGGGCAGCGTCCACGGCACGGTCGCCTCGGACCAGCGTACCGTCACGCCGTACTCTGCCGTGTCGGTGTGGCTGGCTCCTTTGGCGCTCGACTCATCCGTGCGACGGAGCGCCAGCCGCACCGCCTGCCTGAGATCCGGCAGGACCGAGTCGCCCGACGACCCGAGCCTAGGGTCGATGCAAGAGCTATCCTTGGAGATGGCCGTGGCCCGGATCGCCACCGGGATCTCGCCATTGCACGCGACCGTATCGACGGGCGGCAGGATGCAGTCGATGAGCAGGATGGCCCTCTCCTGTACGAGATTCTTGCGCTGCGTGGCGCCCGTGCGGAAGACGGTCCATTCTCTTGGGATCTGCCCCGGCGCGGTCGGCAGGCTCAGTCGAGGCACGGGCAGAGCTACGCTGCGATTGACGACGAGGATCGGCAGCCACACCCTCTCGGCGCGCTTCAGGACCCCGCGGCGACGGCCGACGAGCTTGAAGCAGTACAGGCACCAGTTGCTGCTGCTCGAGTCCCCGCGGCCGTGGAAAGTGCTGGGCAGCGGCTTGGTCATGTGGTCTTTGTCGACGAATGTCGAGGGCAGCGTCGAGATGAAGCGCCACTCGACAAAGTCGTCGTCGGGAGGCGACACGATCTGCACACGGCTGGACGAGGAGGTCAAACTGCCAAAGCGGCCCGCTGCGGACGTCGTTGCGCCAGGCGCGGCCAGCTTCCTGTCGTCGCCGAGCGCGTCCCTGCCATCGCCGTCCTGGGCAGCGCCGTGGATGATGCCATCCTCGAGCAGCGATTCGACGTGCTTGAAGATGGGATGGGTAGCGTGGGAGATGTACTGGTTGCCCTGGCCATCGTAGAAGATGCCGTAGGTGCGGATGTCTCCCTTGAGCTCGCACGTGAGGCTGTCGAAGGGCTGCTCGGACACGCGGTCCGATGGGACGCGGATGGTGGCTTGGACGGTGTCCCCAGGCGAGTAGATACGCCGAGTGTCGGCGATCAGCTGGATGCCCCGCTTGCCCGAGTCGGCGGCGGCGGCCTGCGACGACGTTTCGGCCTTTGCCTTTGCCTTTCCCTTGAAGACGTTGCCGGTCAGGGCGCTCAGCTTGCCCGCACCCTTTCCCAGGATGCCACGTCCGCCCTCTTCGTCGTCGCTGTCGTTGGCGTCATCGCCGGCGGCGGCGCTGCGCGACTTGGCGGCGTACTTGTGACGCTGAACGACGTACTGCGAGAGCAGGTTGGGCCGACGCCGCGCCTCGGTCGGGGTGACGAGGTCGCTGAGCTTGACGCGCACAGAGGCGGCCTGTGAAGACGAGGCAAGGGCATCGCCGTAGCTGGGCGGTGGTGGCGCCGCTGTGCCAAAGTCGAGGTCGAGGTAGCCGTCCTCGGACTCCTTGAGCGGCTTGGCGCGGTCGTCGCCGTCGAGGTCCGGGTCGCTGTCGTCCGAGTTGGCCCGCTTGCTGCTCTTCTCAAACAGGCCCATAGTGGTGGTGGTAGCAAGGCTCGCAGGGGGGATCGAACGATGAAGTTGGTGGCAATGGATGATGGGGGGATAGGATTGCGATGGCTTCGTTGAACCGAACTAGCGAGCCAGAGGTCAATCGCTGCTTATAACGTTGGATCGAGGCAAGGATGGTCGGGGTGCTCTCGAAGGGCGCTGCCGGTATGACGCTCGACCGCAGTTGATGGGCACATGTCCACGCACGCCTACGCGGGTCGGGCCGGCGCCGACGGTGTGAAAAGGAGGCCAGGCGGCGGAGACGGCATGCATGCCATAGCATGCTGTGACGGCCACGGGGCTCGGAGCGAGGGCAGACAGCGGCAGTAGGGGCGGAAACAGAGGCGGGTAAGCTCGGAGCGACCACGCATCAGGCGGGCCAAGGCAGTGCTCGCTTGCGCCTCGGTCTCGTTCGGTTCGGTCCGACCTGCGCGCCTGGTAGCCTAGCCTAGCCTAGCCTCCACTTGGCGGAAAGCGACAGGCGCTCTGGCCAGTGCCGGCCAGGCTGGCCATTGCCGACAGACGGCTTTTCCGACTCCAGCCTTCCACGCTCTCGACCGTCAAGCAACCCAGCAAGCGCTTCGACCGCGCTCGTTCCTCGGACCATCCCGAACCGACCAGCTCAGGCAGGAGGTCGAGAGCGGCGCGGCTTGATCCCGAGCGACGACACCACGTCGGCGAGAAGCATGGATGCCAGCCGCGCCTCGACCACTCATGGACCGCCATTTCGACGACCACGGTGACGGCGACGGCCACGACGCAAGCATCGCGGCCTCGAGCGGGCCGCGCCGCACCCGCCACTCGACGCGCAGCTCGATTTCGTGCCTTGCGTGTCGGGAGAGCAAGGTGCGCTGCTTCCAGCTACCAGGCGGCACCGGCACCGCCTGCTCCCGCTGCGCACGCCGCCAGCTCGAGTGCATCGTCCCCGCCACCACCAGACGCAACCGCCGCAGCACCCCGTCCGTGGCGGCACAGCCACAGCATAGCGCCAGCAGCAGAATCCTTGGCCCGTCCGACGCGCCCATCGTGCCTGGTGGCCGCGATCGTCTGCTGCCGTCCATACCGGGTCTTGCCTCTTCCAGCCCAAAGCCAGCATCGACATCGACCCAGAGCGTCCCCACGCCGCCATCCTCAAGAGGCACCCACACGCCGCTCGGCGATCCGCTCCGGCTCCTGGCAGATGCTTCCCAGGGACGCCACGCTCAGCAGCACGGTCCTGCGCCCGCCCTGCGGAATGGCCAGCGTGACAGACGCTCAGACGACGACGCTGATGACGACGAGGACGAAACCAGTCAGGAGGCCGGGCCGAGTCGTCACTCGTCTAGCACTGCCGAGTCTATGAACGCGGCCCTGAGACGCGCATCCAACTGGCGGGAGCGCAACCGTCGCAGCGGCTACAGCACCTACTTCCGCCACCGTATGTTTGCCGCAAAGCCCGACTCGACCCGATCCATCAGCCCGGTCTCGCTCGGCCTCGTCGATGAACAGCAGGCTGATGAGCTGCTCGGCACGTTCATGAAGACCTTTAATCGCAGCTGCCACCTCCTCGACCCCGCGCTCCACACGCTGGGAGAGATCCGCAAGCATGCTCTGCTCTCGAGCACCATCTTCCTCCTATCAGCCAGGGCCAGTCGGCCCAGGTCGACCATGGAGCCGCTAGCCCTGAGGCTAGAGCAGCACATCAACAACTCGGTCATACCGCACGTCCTGCTTGAAGACTGCCGCTCTCTCGAGATCGTGCAGGCCTTTATCCTGCTGGCGACCTACCACCCTCCGACCCGCGTGGCAAAGACCGACCGAGCATGGTCCTACCTCGGGCACGCCGTCCGCATCGCCACCAGCCTCGACCACGAACTGTATGCCGAGTCGGCACATCCCACCGTCGGCCTCTCCTCTCACCACGGCATCGGAGGAAACGGACGGGCCGCCCGCAATTTGCAACGCACCTGGCTGCATCTCTGCGGGCTGGAGCAGCTCATGGCTTCGTATCTTGGACGGCATGCCATCCTCCGCCAGATCACCCTGCTCCGCATGCGCCCTCGATGGTACGACGAGGCCGGTCGACTGCCAAACGACGTTGTCGTCTTCATGATGTGCGAGCTCAGCGTCAGGCTAGCCAAGGCTGTTGATCTGCTCGATACGATCCAGGCGTCGCTGCCGTCTTCGCGCGCCGACGTGGGTCAAGACATCGCCCGGCATGGAGCAGAGCCGCTCATGTCCGTCTACCAGTCCACGATCAAGGGTGACCTCGATGCCTGGCATTCGCAATGCGTCGAGAAGGCGAAAGCGGTCGAGGACAGCGGTGCAGACAGAGCAGAGATCGCAGCCGGTCTTCAGCTGCTCGAGCGTGAGTAGGCCGTCGACCGTCCGTGGAGAACCTGCCGGAGCACTCACACGGGGATAGCTTCCGTCACCTGCGGACCCCCTGTCGACGAGCAGTCTACCGCCACTACGCCTTTATATACCTGACGGCCCTCAAGATTCAGATGTACGACGTCGAGGATTTCTTTGCGGCTGCGCACGTCGCAGACTTCTACCTGCACGCAGGTGGGTGCTGCGACCCGAGGTGACGTTTGCATGTTGTCCCCGCATCGAATGCTGATTGCGACTTGCATCTTGCCCCGTTCGGACGCTGCGCCTTTTGCGCCCTACAGTCGCTTTCGCCAACGTCTTAGGTGAGTCGAACAGCAGGTACGAGGAGTCATTGCAATGCCATTGCTGACATCCGACGGTGATCCTGGTGATCTGCTCTCTCGTGTTGTGCAGAGTGAGTGCTAGCGATCGATCGTCGCTTCGAAGCAAGTGGTCCGCTGAATCCCCTTGCCATCTGTACTTGCGCGCCCATCCTCTGCCAGGACGCTCCCGACGATGCGCATCGATGGCCACGACGTCGATGCAATCACGTTCAGCGGCAACTCGCTCTTTGTCTGCGGGGCCTACGTCGGCGTGATCGCGCTCATGCTGCTGCAGCGCGCTGCCGATCGCGTCGACCGCGCAACGATCGTACACGCCGTCGAGACCATCATCGACAGGTTCCGCGGCGCTGGCAGCGTGACGCCGCACCGCAACGGGTGCGCCCTCGCCTACTCGCACTTTCTCAAGCACCAGCTGCGGCAGACGGTGCACGCCGAGGCGGTCGGTGCTGAGCCAGGACCGCCTTTGGCTGCTGCGGTGGATGCGACGACCTCGGTGAGGCTTGGCGCTCGCGCGGCTCTCGTGTTTCGAGCCGGCCGTGCTGACGCAGTCCATCCTCCAACCAGCAGGCTCCACTGCTGGATCCGCTGGACACCGACGGCTTCGCGCTGTCAGACTTTGCACACGGCCTCGACGATGGCTTGGTGAGTGCGCGAGCCTGTCTGCAGTCGAGGGTCGCCTCGCCTCTGACGACGTGCGCCCCTTTTAATCCCAGCTGATGCTCTTGAACGCCGGCAACGGATCCGGTGAGCTTCCGCCAGGCATAATGCCGATCTCTAGAAAGGGAGCACAACTTCTGATGTCTATTTCCGTGTGCGCCTTTGTCCCTTGACCCGTTGCTCAGGACCCGACTTTCCGAATGATGGCTTTGACGATACAAGCTGGCTCGCCTAGGTTCGCAGCTGCCGTTCGATGACGAGCATCGCGCGGGCTTTCCCGGCTCTTCGATCCTCGGCCTGCGCGCGCGCGCGTGGCCCGCGACGAGCGTCAGAAGGGCACCGCGCCTGACTTGCCCTCGAGCTTGAGGCCGCGCTCGTCTTCGGTGAGCGTCTTTACCACGCGCGCCGGATTGCCGACGGCCACGCTCCAGTCGGGGATGTCTCTGGTGACGACGCTGCCGGCGCCGATGGTGCAGCCTCGGCCGATGGTGACACCGGCCCTGCGGTGGGGGGGCGGACAGGCGTGCGAGACCAAAGGAAAGAGGTGTCAGCAGGAGGGCGGTGAAGTGAAGAGCCTCGCGCGTTCGTGAGGCGGCTCACATGATGCAGACGTTGCCGCCGATCCAGCAGTCGTCGCCGATGGCCACGGGGAGGGCGCGTTCGTAGCCGCTGGCGCGCTCCGTGACGCTGACGCTGTGGGTGGCGGCGTAGATGTGTACGGCGGGGCCAAAGAGGACGCCGTGGCCGATTGAGACGGGGGCGACGTCGAGGATGACGAGGCCGGCGTTTGCGTAAAAGTCGCCCTTGAATGCGACGTTGAAGCCAAAATCGACGTGGAGCGGGGGTTCGATGAAGATGCGTTTGGCCTGTTGCGGGTCGAGGTGGAAGAGGTCCGAGAGTATGGCGGTGCGCTGGGCGTTGGATACGTCGTTGAGGGTCGGATCCGTCTCGAGGGTGCCGCACCGGGAGGGCGTAGGTGGCGAGGGACCGGGACGGGAATGGTTGTAGTCGTACTCGAGCTGTCTGGCACGTAGACGCTGCACGGTGAGTTGCGCGTCGGTGCAGAGGTACGGTAGACCGAGGAGCGACCGCTCCCCCTGCGACAGGCCCGAGAGGCGCGCGGCGTACTGCTCGTCGGCCGCAGCAAACTTTTGCGTCGCTGTCAGCGAAGGTTTAGTCGATGACGTTGCGGTGGACGTCGAGGCGGTCGTGGTTCCGTTGGTCGTGGTTCCGTTGGTCGTGGTTCCGTTGGTGGAGGTTTGGGGGACAGCTTCGGACATGGTGCGAGGCTGCTGCTAGTCTCAGACGGTACAGATGTGGGGTATGGGAGGTTGATGGAAGAAGAAGGGGGAGGCACGCCTTCGTCGGTCCTTTAAGAGTGCAGGCAAGGCAAGGCAAGGTGAGGCAAGGAAGCAGCTACCTAGCACGGCGAGGAGGAAGCTAAGGACCCTTTGGCCGTCCCTCTCGGCACGCCCGCTCGTCCTGGCACGTCCCTCCTCCCCCACTCCCCACTTCCCCCCGCACGCACGGACAGACGCAAAGTCGGCCAGGACTCGGAAACGCGGCAAAGCGGTGCGGCGCGGCGCAACCCTCGGTCGGCCCCGCCCTGGTCCCCCCGCCCGGCCTTTTTCCGAAACGCACCTTCGGCTCGGACCGCGAGCCGCGAGCGAGCGACAAGGCTCCTCCCCCCTCTTTCTCTCTTGAAACGACCGCAAGCCCCCTCAGCACATCCCTCTGAAAGCGACCACCGATCGGCGTTGCCCCCGCCCGATTCGAGTGCCGACATGGCGTGGTGTGTACAGACGGCAAGCCGGGATCGCGCGTAGCCTGGATGTGCATGAAAGGGCGCCGTTGGGTCGGATTGGGTCGGATTGGTAGGGAAGGAGAGGGGGTATCGGTGACCGTGGCTCGAAGCCAGTTGGGGGAGCAGATGAGGCATGGCAGAACGTCTAGGACTAGGACTAGGACTGGGCTACGTCGCACGATGACCTCGGAGGTAGATGCACGGGCAGAGGGGGAAGGCGTAGCGCTAACCACGAGAATGACAGGGAGGCAGGACAGTGCTCGACTGACGTGACGGCCCCGCAAGCACCGTCGAGGGCCGCAGACGACGACGACGACGACGACGACGACGACGACGACGACGACGACGACGACGACGACGACGACGACGACGACGACGACGACGACGACGACGACGACGAGGGCTAGGCGATGACGCACTCGGACTCGGCGTCCTTGCGCGTGGGCCGAGCGCCCTTTTTGCCCGCCTGGCCCTTCATCTTCTTGAGCTCCGTCAGACGCTGCATCGCCCGCTTGTTGCCTTGGGCTGTGCCGTGTCGGGGCGGAGAGGCGAGGCAGGGAGGCAGGGAGGCAAAGATGCAAAAGAAGCAAAGAGGGACAAGGTCAGCCATCAACGACGACGCCATCGACACCAGGGCCAGCGCTGCATCTGGCCGCCGCTCAAAGACTCACCCGCCGCACGCATGTACCACCGCTTGGCCTCGTCGAGGTCGGCCGTGACGCCGATGCCGACTTCGGAGTAGTAGCCCACGGCGTACTCGGCCTTGGCGATGCCCTTGGTGGCCGCCCTGCGCGCCCACAGGTACGCCTCCGAGTCCGACTGTTTGAGCACGCCCTCGGAACCCGTCAGGTACCAGCCGCTCAGCGCCAGCTCCGACTCTCCGTCCCCCTTGCCCGCCGCCTTTGTGTACCACGCGATGCTCCGCCGCGGGTCGACGGGACACGTCAGCGAGCCGTACTCGTACGCGCAGCCCAGCTTGAACTGGCTCGGCGCGTAGCCCAGCTGGGCCGCCTGGGTGAAGAGCTCGCGCGCGTACGCCTCGTCGTGGACCACGACGGTGCTGTTGGGCTTCTCGTGCAACAGCCCGAGCTCGTGGAGCGCGTGCGGGTTGTCGTCGTCGGCCTGGGCCGCAGCGCGCTTGAGCCACACGATGGCCTCGCGGATGTTGCGCGGCTGGCCCAGCAGCCCGTTGAGCAGCACCATCCCCAGCTTGTACATGCCCGCCGTGTCGCCGAGCGCCGAGGCCTTGCGGTAGAAGAGCACCGCGCGGTGGTGGTCGCGCCTCGTGCCGGCGCCCACCTCGTTGCACACGGCGGTGCGGTAGGTGGCGGCGGGGTGGTTCTGCTTCGACGCCTGGACGTAGAGGTTGTAGGCCTTTTCGTGGTCGACCTGGAGGCCCAGCGATCCGTTGCCGAAGCAGTTGGCGAGGAAGAACTGCGCCTCGGCGTACGGCGGCTTGCCCACGCCCATGCCGGCCGTGGCGAGGCGCTTGATGAGCTTGAGGCTCTCGGCGAGCAGCGCGTCGCGGTACTTGCGCTGCTGCTTGGGTCCGTCGGCCGGGTCGTGCACCTTCTTGGCCGCCTCGATGAGGTACTTGGCAAACGCAAACTGCGCCTCGGGGTCCGGGTCGCCCTTCATCCGCTGCCGGTACTCGTTGACAAACGCCTTGTTGAACGGCAGCGTCTGCTGCGGCGCCGCGTCCTTGCTCTTTCGACGCGGGTTCGACGCCGCGCTGCCCATGCTGGCCATGCTGAGCTGCGTGCCCTGCCGGCTCAGCATGTTCGGCCGCCCCGCTCCGGCGGCGCCCAGGCTCATGCCGCCCATCGCACCCCCGTACATGTCCGAGCCGCCCGCGACGCCGGGCGGGAAGGCAGGCTGGTGACCTTCGGGGTACCCGAGGTAGCCCTGCGCCGCCTGGAAGTACGGGTTGGCGTCGTAGCCGTTGACGCCGCTCACAGCGCCTCCGTACGGCTGCGCAAAGGCGTACCCGTTGCCCTGGTGCGGCTGGTAGCCGCTCGAAGCGTAGCCAGCGGCTCCCGGTGGTCCGCCGCCGTAGTAGGCCGCCGATGCAGCATCGTAGCCCCCCTGCCCCGGCTGCTGCTGGTACTGGTGCTGCTGCGACGAGCGCTGATCGTGTCCGTCCATCGATCCGCCCATCATGCCCGGCTGGAAGCCGTCGCCGGGAGCCGAGTGGTGGCGCACCCCACCGCCGTACCCTTGCTGAGACTGCCAGTCCTGAGGAGCCGCCGGGCTGCCGTCGCCGGGAGCATGCTGGCCGTGCCCGCTCGACCGGTTGCCGTTGCCGTGGTCGAGATCGGCGGCGGTCTGGTCGATCTCTGCGGCGATGGCCGCGAGCGAGTTTTCGGGCTGCACCTCGGCCGCCGACTGGTGGATCTCCTGGTTGGCATAGGCCGCATTGGCGCGGACCGAGCCGATTCCGGGATTGCCTCGGCTTGCCCCTCCCGGCGCCGGGCTCTTGGATCTCTGCGGCCCGAAGCTGGGCGTCGCCAGCAGCCGCATGTTTGCGAAACTGTCGCCGAGGTCGTCGGCCAATGGCGGGGCACGCGAGGCGTCTGCACCATTGCCGGGGTCAAGAGCGGGCATCGACATGTTTGACTGCCGATACAGGCCGTCTGCCGTGCGAAGCAAAGAGGCGAGCAAGGACGAGGGAAGATAGAATGGCAGAAAGAGAAAGCAACGAGCGAGGACAGCATCAGCAAGCCGCTCAATGGGCGCGCGCCGGCGATGCCTTGATAGCATGGCGGTCCGTCCGTGCTTACCTTGTGCCTGTTGCGGCTGGTGCTGGTGCGGTTGCTGGTGCTGCTGATGCTGGTGATGCGGCGGTGGCTGCGTAAAGTTGCGGGTGGGTTGCCGCCCATTGGGAGCGTGGTCGGCCGTGTACCGCACCGGCATCTGTTGCGGGCTGTGCATGTAGGCCTGCCTCGAGTCCGACGGGTAGTACTGCTGAGAGCCCGAGGAGCCGACGCTGCCGCCGGTGCGCGACAGGTTGGCACCGGCACCCTGCGGCTGGCCCGGACTGCGGTAGTAGCCCTGGTAGGGAGAGCCCGAGGGTGTGTATGGCCGCTGAGGGGGCTGTGGCTGCTGCTGCTGCTGGCCGTACTGCTGATAGGCCTGGTGCTGTTGCTGTCCGGCGTACTGCTGGTGATACGGAGGCTGCTGTGACTGCTGGGCGCCCGGATAGTGGCCTGCGACTGAGGCGCTGCGGCTTGGCGGAACGTCGCTGTAGTCGTGCGCCGAGGCGTACGCCAGCGAGGCGGAAGCGTGCGAGTCCTGCGACATGGCGGGCGAGGAGGTGGTCAAGCTACGGCCCGCGACGCCCGGAGCAGGGACGGAGAGAGGGATGCGGAGCTCGCTAGTCGGTCTCTCTTTGGTGAGCGCTCGGCGATGGCCTGCTGTGTGAGGAGGCGTTGCGGATGTCGAGAGCGTGCCAGGCCGCGCAGGATGCTCTAGGGTCGACTGAGCCGCTGGCAGCACGGAGGAGCAGCAGGGTGGCCTGGGCAAGGCACCTACCGATTCCAACCGATGGAGAGGTTGTAGAGCGGCCGAGGAGAGTGAATCGACGCCTTCCGCTGCTGCTGCTTGGGCGCTTCGAGGTCGATCAGGCTCCTCTGGGACGTCAGAGGCAGTCCTTTCCTCCGAGGCGGTGTAGTCGAGCAGGGCAAGTGCAACCAAGTGTAGCAGAGCGGAGGCCGAGGGGCGGAAGTGGTCGGAGCTGCTTGCTGCCTTGTCCTGGTGGTCTACCAGGAGATGTTGGTCGTTACGCAATCGGAAAGTAGTCGGTGCTCGTCGCCGTCGCCGTCGCCGTCGCCGTTGAAGCTGGTCTGCGATCGCCGCGCGATATGTCCGTACGTGATCCTTTTGCGCGCGGAGGCCCAGAGCAGTGAAGATGCGGGGGTGCGTGGACTGCTTTGTCGGTGCGCAGAGGCAGGCAGCGGTGGACGAGGCGGGGTTGGGCGGGGTTGGGCGGGGCAGGACGGGGCGCGATGGATGGGATGTGAAGTGGCGTGGGTTGGTGCGGCAAGAGATGTACGGGCAGCAGGAGGCTGGGAGGGTCGATGGTGACCCGAGCCAGATAGACGGGCGACTCACTCCGACCGACGCTCGACGCTCGAGTGCCAACCAACAGCCTGACAACGCGCCACGCAAGAAGAGGCCGGCCGGGTCGGACCTTTGTGCTTGGCCCCTAGCCAGGCCAGGCTGGCCCGCTCGCTCGACCCTGAAGGGCGGGTGGCCTAGACCTAGCCTGTGTGACCTGCGCCTTGGCTTGCCTGCCTGCTTGCTTGTCTCTCTGCCAGCCCTAGCCTAGCCTGCTGGCCACCTGGGGCCTGGCCACTCTCACGCGGCCCACCTCACCACCCCTAGCCTCCGCCCGCCCGCCTGCCCGCCAGATTTTTCTTTTTTTTGGAACAGGGCCGAGCAAGCAGTCGGCAGGTCTGGCGCGGGGCCTGTGCGCAACAGCGCCAGCGTGCGTTCGTGCGTGCGCCGCTTGCGCCAACGAGCAGCGCCCGCTGTGCTGCCGCTTCGGGTTTGGGTGGCTCTTGGCCCTGCCCGCCTGCCGAGCAGCGAGGGCGGGGACCAACCCTCGAAAAAATGACAGAGGGCAGGGCAGCACGCCCACCCGCTCGCTGCCTGACGTCGAGATGCATTTCGACATCCCCCTCAAGACCGACGCCAAATCGACGCAGCCTCACGCCCAACCAACACTTCGCCCCGCCTCCTTCTCCTCCTCCGCCATCCTCACAGCCAAGGCATCGGATCCGCCATCGTCGTCGTGCAGTCGGAACGCCGTCATCATCTGCCGCCGTTTCCAAGGTGCGCCGTCGCCCCCTCCTCCTCGACGACGACGGCGGCGAGGCCTGGCAACGCGGAAGAGGGACAGGCCACGCGCACATAGCAGCCTGTGGTCGCTCCATCAAGTCGTCCAGATCGACGGGTACGCCGAAGACGGCTACGTCCAGACGTCAAGGCGAGGCGTTGACCGCAGACCCAACAGAACCTGCACGCGCAGCACCACCTCGAACAGAGCGACGGCATGCACTCGCGCGCATCGGCTGCCGCATCGGCCGCAGTCGTCCATCAGAAGCGGTTCGTGTTATTGCAAGACCTGGAGTAGCCTGAGTTCAAAAGGACGAGCGCCGCTCAGCAGCTCCCGCCGCGTCTTGCCACCAGAGGCGCACGAGTTTGGTGCGGCACGGTGTCGCTGCCCTCTCTGGCGTTACTTGCTCAGCATCATCTGCGGGGAGATGGGGAGAGGCGGCAAAGAGGCGGCAAAGAGTGTCGACGTCAGCGACCAGCTAGGTGTGCAGGTGAGGATGGCGGCTGCGCTCCGAGGCGCACCTTGACAAACTCGTCGTAGTTGATCTGGCCGTCGCCGTCGACGTCGGCCTCGCGGATCATCTCGTCGACCTCGTTGTCCGACAGCTTCTCGCCGAGGTTGGTCATGCTGGCACGGTGTGAAGACCGGGGGAAAAGGACGGCGCCCCATAGCCGTTAGCTTCCTGGTCTGCTCGCTCGCCGATCCATATACCTGATCCCCGCGCCACGTGCCCTAAGACACTCACACATGTCGGAGCTCGGCGGCGCTGATGAACCCGTTGCCGTCCTTGTCAAAGACCTTGAAGGCCTCCTTGATCTCCTCTTCGCTGTCAGTGTCCTTCATCTTCCTCGCCATCATCGTTAGGAACTCGGGAAAGTCGATGGTGCCGTTGCCGTCGGCGTCGACCTCGTTGACCATGTCCTGCAGCTCGGCCTCGGTGGGGTTCTGGCCCAGCGAGCGCATGACGGTGCCGAGCTCCTTGGTGGTGATGGTGCCATCGCCGTCTGATCAGTCGCAGAGCGGAGCAGGCGGCGGGTAATACAGGGCAGAGCAGGGCGGGGCGAGGCTTATGTCAGCCTCCAAGCCGAGCGTGCCGCCGTGGCCGGCGGAACATGGACTCACCCTTGTCAAAGAGGGAGAAGGCCTCCTTGAACTCTGCAGATGGCGGCGGTTCCGGAGCGCGGTGCAATGCACGGAAGGTATCAGCGAGCCGGTCGCAGCACGGTATGCAACAGAGCCGTGCCTGGGGCCACTTGACTCACCGGAGATTTGCTCTGATCACGGGTCGAGGGTGCAAGCGACGAGAAAAGCGATGAGCGAGGTCAGTCGAGCATTCCACTACGAGTCGGCGCAGTCACTCGAGCTCGAGATTGATCCGACACGACCAGTCCAGTCCAGCGATGCTATACGGCGTGACTGAACGGCAGATCAAGAGCCTGCGTTCCGCTGCTTGCAAGCGTGACGATGGGTGAGCGACATACCTTCAGTCTGCGGTGCAAAGAGCATACGAAAGCAAAGGTGGTCAGCCCGGCCCAGTCACTGCAGAGCGTGCGAGGCGGCCACTCGGCCCCGTGGCCGGCGACGAGGAGAAAACTCACGAGTTGGTCGGCCATATTGTAAGATTGCAATGTGTCGGTGGTGTGTGAGAGAAGGTGCTGGTGATGGTAGTCGTGGTGGCGGTGGTGACGACGGCGGCCCGGCAGAGACGAGGGGGGCCCAGGCCACCTGCGCGAATTTTCCTACAGCAGGCCAGGCAGGCCCAGGCCAGGGCAGGCCAGGGCAGCCCCGACCCAGGCGGGCGGTGTGTGCGTGTGCGTGTGTTCGCGCTTGGCCCACGGCTTGTCTGTCTGCCTGCCTGCCTGCCTGCCTGTTGGCTGGCCTGCCTGAGCCTGGGCCACCCCCCAAATCCGTCTCGCACAGCCCATCACCCTCGCGTTGCCAGGCCTGGCCTCGCCTCGCCTCGCCCTCGGCTGCCGTCTGCGACCGCCCTCCCTCGCTGCGTGCCGGGCTTGCCGCCGGTGTGCGCCAGCCAGCCAGCCAGCCAGCCAGCCGTACGTGTTGGCCCTGGCTCTGCCTGCCCTGTCCCCCCTGCCCGCGCCGGGCAGTGACGCAACGCACACGCCCAGCGCACGCCCAGCGCCTCCCCCGACCTCGCGCCGACGCCGACGCCGCGGCCTGACCGCCCACCCAATTCAAGCTTGCTAGGGAGATCTGGCAGGCCAGGCCTGGCTGGCCTCTATCGGCCGTCGTCCACGGCCACACGGCTGGGATGCCTGGCCGATAGTCCACGCGAACGCCCCCGCTCCGCTCGCAGCCCCACATGCCTGGGGCCTTTCCTTTGAAGACGACCGCTGGCGCGGCACAAGTGTGATCGGGGAGCCGGGCAAACAGATCGGCGACGCACGATCTCACCTCGCCTCGCCTCGCCTTCGCGCCCCGCCGCCAGCTCTTCGGGCAACCGGCCTCATCATCATCGACCTCGGCTGGTCAACGAGCGAGGACAACACTACGTAACCTGTACGTCGTCGTCCATCTCGTCCCGACGGTGCGACGACGCGGGTGTGTGCGCACGGCCAGGCCTGGCCAGGCCAGGCTGGCCGGTGTCAGTGCGCGAATCCGCGCCCTCTGCCAGGTCAAAGCAAGCCGATACGGCCGGCCCGGTGGCATACATATCGGGCTCGCCCGCTGAGGGTGTCGCGCGGCACATCTAGTTCCCCCTTGCCTGACTTCGTCGAGATCGACGCCACCCACAGCCTTCCAACACGCAGTAGCAGAGCAGACGGGAAGGTAGCGTGTGGTAGAGAGAGAGAGGGAGGTCGGCGTCGGCATCGCCGCCTCTCTGTATGCTTTGATTCGGATCGGCAAGAGACTCTGCGTGGGCCTCTGGCCGTTTATCAGGACGCAGGCCCCCTGGGCAGGCCTGGTCTGCTCTATCTATCTTCTATGGGCACGGAAGTGGGCAGCAGCGACGCCTTCAGAGTCGATCCGAGACGGCGGAGGGGAGAATGCAAAAAGGGGCCGGGTGGCGCGGCACACGAGCAGGGGGTATAGGTGGGGGACGGGGGCATGCGATGTGAGGGAAGGGATCAAGAAGCGTGCGGTGGTTGAAATGCAGGGTGGGCTGTGTTGATGAGAAGAGAGCCCTTTTGGATGGCGGTGCGCCGAGGTGTCGCAACGACCGCCTCATCGAGTCCAGCTCCAGACGGCGGGGGCGGGGACGCCGGTGCGCAGGGCGGCATGCAGGTGGCAGCGCGACGACGGCGCCTGGGCCAGCCGGAACGAGCCCTTGCCCAGAGCATCGCCGCCCTGCCATCCAGCAGCGTCGGCGATGACCTTGTCGGCATCGTCGTCGCCGTCGTCGTCGGTGTTGCAGCCGGAGCGGGCGGGGAGCGAGGGCATCAGCTCGCCGCGGCACAGGCGCGCGGTAAACGTGGCGCGCGGCGTGCTGCTGTTGCTCCGGCGCGATCCACTCTTGGCCGTCTGCGTGCCGCTGAGGGCGACGCTGCCGCCTCCACGACGGGAGGGCGCAACCGAGGCGAGGCGCGACATGGCTGCCGACGACAGCCCTCCGCCGCCGCCCAGCGGCATCGACGACGACGACGAAGAAGAAGAAGAAGAAGACGACATCGACATGGCCACCGCCGGCGTCACGGCGCCAGAAGGCAGCGGAGCGTCCCACTCCTCGATCTCGGCAAGCGCGGAGCTGGAGGCGGACTGCTTGCCCTTGGACTTGGCCGAGGCGTTGGCGCAGTCGCTCGAGAGGAGGCCGTCGAGCTGCTGGATACGAGGCTTCTGCTTCTGGCGACGAGCGTCGAGCGAAGCAGTGGTGCGCGAGGGAGGCGGGCTGGCCACCTCCTTGGGCGTGACCCAGCCGGAGGCCGAGGTGCTGCCCGCCAGCGCGGACGCTCCCCAGCGCTTCTTGCCGCTCCGCGCACCCTTGGCCGAGGCCTGCATGGCGTCGCGGGCGTCGGCGGCGGCGGCCTCGGCCTCGAGACGACGCAGCAGCTGGTTGGCGCGCGCCGAGCGTCGGACAAAGAACTCCATGCCGAGCGACAGGCTGAAGCTGAGGTACTCGTGACCCTCGTCGCTCCAGACGAGGTCGCCGGGGCTGCGCTCGTCACGCGAGGCGGGCACCGAGGCGTCGTCGCTGTCGGCGCCGTCGTCCGTCGAGCGCTGCAGGGTGGGGTGGAGGCCGTGGCGACGCGTCCTGGCCGCGATGGGGGTCGAGCGCAGCCGGCGGGCGGCGCCTTGCTGGTCCTGCTGGTCCTGCTGCTGCAGGTCGTACTTGGAGCAGTAGAAGCGGCTCAGCCAGCCGTTTTCGGGGTCTGGGACGCCCCAAGAAGCGGCGTCATCCCCATTCTTGCGAGAGTCGTCGGCGCCGTCGCTGTCCTGGCCGTCGTCGGGGAAGCGCCATACCAGCCCGAAGTCGGCCTCGAGGCGAGCCGAGCAGGCCTTTGCCTCGGCCTGCTCGATGCGACGGCGCTGCGACGCCGACGCCGACTGGCGCTGTTCGCTGCCCTCGTCGTCATCGCCGTCATCGCCGTCACTGTCGTCGTCGTCGTCCTCCTCTTCATCGTCGTCGTCGTTTTCGTCCTCTTCGCCCTCGATGGGCTGCTGCACGCGAAAAAGCGAGTGCCAGTCGGCCTCGGTGTCAAAGAGGAGCGAGACAGTGTCGCCGTCGTAGCCCTTGAAGCGGAGGGGGATGACGTGGACGATCGACTGAGGCTGGGACGCAGCCGTAGCGGGCGAAGCTGCCGGAGCAGGTGCGACGGGCTCGGTGGCGCCGTGGCGATCGAGGATGTTGAGACGGTCGAGCTGGGCATCGCCGGTGGCCACGGTGGGCTGCGGCAGCAGGGGCGAAGGGGGTGGGAGCTTGCGCACGACGCGAAGGCCGACGCGCCAGTCTGCGTTGGCAAAGTGCGAGGCGATGAGCTCGTGCTCGACGGCGTGCTTCCAGGCGCGGCTGATGGGGCGGATCGAGGTGTAGAGGGTGGCGGGGTCGCAGTAGAGAAAGATGGAGCGGAGGATCTCGTTGGGCAGGCTCTGGGCCTGCTGCTGGTCGACGGCGGCGGCGGCGTCGTCGACCTGCCCGCCCTCCTCAAATGAGGAGGAGCGGGTGTAGGCGATTCCATTCATCTTGACCAGCGGTGCGGTTGTGATAGGAAAGAAGTCCGGGGGGAGAAGGGGAAAAAGCGATGAAGCTGCAGCGACCGAAGCGGAGAGGAGGTGAAGGCTAGAAAGAGGAAGACGATTGTCGGTTGCAGCCTTGACGCGGTGGTCTTAAGAAGTCGGGGCTTTGACGGAGGGAGGTCGACTGGCTGGCCTGCGGGCAGAGGAGGAGGATGAGGAGAAGGAGGGGAGAGAGGGAGGGGCGGGTTCGAGTGCGGGGAAGAGGATCAAGGAGTGAAGCAGGTGCCGGACGGCACCAGCTAGCGGAGGGAACGAGGCAGGCAGGCAGGGTCCCAGCAGCTGGCAGGCCGCAGATTTCCAAAATTGCGGGGCCAGCGAATGAAAATTTCGCCCGTAGCCTGCCCGGCTGCACCTCGCCCAACGTGCAGCCCAACGTGCAGGCAGGCGCGGGCAGAATTTTGCCACCCTAGCTGCTGCCTGGCTGGCTGGCGGCGTGCTGGCTGGCCCGCAGGCGACAGAGACGGCGACGGCGACGACCGAAAATCCGAAAATTCAGCGCCAAGGCGTAAAACTCTGGCCCTCACGTCACACTCCGGCCCCTCTGTGCTGGCTGCCTGGCACCGCGTCGCAGGCGTGTCCGTTTGGAATTTCGAAACTCGGTCGAAGATGACCCGATTCGAAACGCCCGCTGGTAGCCTGGCCTGCCAGGCCAGCTGGCCCACCCTCGCCCTCTCCTCCTGACAGGGCCGCCCCCATCGAGCGTGGAATGGGCTCTCGCTCCGCCTCGATCCGTCCTCGACGTCGATCCGGTCGCGGTCGCCTTTCGGTTCGGTCACCAAGGGGCGGATCGATTGATGGAGAGAGAGGATCCGCGAGCTGGCGACGGAAATCTGATAGAAAGGGCTTGGCGACAGCTCGACGTCGATGGCGGCGATATCGACGGCGGCGACAAGCCTTCTCATCAAGGCGGCCGACAGGACGACTCGACCGTTGGGGAGCGTGGCCTGGCAGGCAAAACGAACCGGCAATCGTCGTTCAAGGACGGAAAGAAGCACGCTACGACGATCCGGAAGTCGCCTCGGCGTCTGGACGTCGAGCCGCCTGCCTGATGTCTCGCTCGACGGACGTACACCGCGACGCCAGGGCAGGGGGCTGCGGGGAACGGTCAACCCAGCCCAGCCCAGCCCAGCCCAGCCCAGACCACCGGCACCGACGTCGACCCCCTGTCTCTTTGACGAGGAGCACCACCTTAGCTTGGGCTCGGTCCGAATCAGCGCCAAAGTCCCAGCCAAGCGGCCAAAGAGCAAGGCTCGGGCTCGACGACGCTGGGGCAAACCCTCGGCCCACTGGTCGCTGTATGCTGCACCAACGCACCGACCTCGACCAGCCGGGCAGGGCGCCAGATCCGCGCCGGCTGGACAGACGCCTCTCTGTGGCCGTCGTGGTGGTCGAGCACGCCCTCCTGATGGCATCGACGGGGGTTCGAGGGGTGTCAAGAAGCTGGCTGGCTGGCTGCCTGGACGCTGCGAGCAGGCGAGGAGTCAAAACCAGCTGACCGCCGTCCCGTCGCCCGGTCCCCAGGCTCGCGCTTCCATGGGCCCCTCTCGGGAAACCTCCTTGCCTGCGGCTCGGTGTGGCGCCATGGCACGTACGTCGGTGGTCGTCTCGCCTGGTATGGCTTGGCCCGGCCATGGTTTCTACCGGCCCTGGACAGATCGACGACCTGCTTGAACAACCAGGCAGGCAGGCACGCCTCTCCGACCGTCGGCCTGCTGGCTTGCTTGCTCGCTGTTGCGGCTATGGACCCTGGCGCAGCGAGCTGAGCCTCGGCAGCGCGCAGAGGAGGGAGAGCGCGCCGGTGTCGCCGTCGCTTTCGCTTTCGGCGAATACGCCTGTTTCCGTCGGGCCGGTGGGGCTGGCCTCGTCCCGGCGAAGCTCGATATCGCCAGCCTGGTGGTCATGGTCGATTCTGCGAGGCTCTGGACAGGTCGAGGGGGCTGCTCTCGATACAGGACTCCGCCAGACGTGGGGTCGATGACAGGTGCAGGCGAGGCGACGTATGTAGCGGTTGGGCGCGCGCCTAGGCCAGGAGCGAGGCCAGCAGCAGGGCAGGCGGGGCAGGGCAGGGCGCCTTTGCCGCGCTGCTGGCTGGCGCGTGCGTCCAACCGACCAACACCGGCCGTTTGGCCTGCTTACGCCCGGCCTCGTGATTGTTTCCACCACCAGCACCAAAACCATCACCCTCACCCTCACCCTCGACCCACTCGGCTTCATTCGACGGCCGCATAGGGGCTCCAACTTGGTCTGTGCCGTACGTACCTCCTCTTGGCCCGCCCGTCCGTCCTCCCTGCCGGTGGCCTGCATCTTGCCGCCCGCTCCTTCCTCGTCGTCGACCCAGCCTAGCCAGGCCACGCAGCCGCCTGCGTCACGCTTGCCACCGGCCCATTCGTCCACGGCAGCTTCCCTGTCTGCGCCCTAGGTGGACCGACCCGGCGGCTCGACTACTACTTCAAGCCCTCGCCTCCCCTCGAACGGACGCCATCATGAGCGGCGATCCCCTCCGTTCACCACCACCACCACAGCCCGACGACGACGGCGGCGTCCGACGCCCACAGAGCCCGAGGGCCATCCAGTTTGTCGACAACCTCGTCGATACCGCCACACCGCGCCAGCAGCAACAACACCAGCAGCAGCACCTGCAGGATCCCCTCAGCCCGACTCGAGCGACACCCTCCTCCAACGCTGCCGGTAAGCAGCCACAACAGCGCCGTCCTTCGCGGACCACCGATCTGCTGTCACCACCCCTTGCCGGACCGTCTTTGTCACGCAACCTGGCGACGACTGCCTCGCAGCCCGCTGGCAGTGCAGCGACAACAGCCGACGACATGCCTCTGCACACCGGATACGGCGCCACGGGCACCAATGCCCAGGCCCTGCGCGACCCGCACCAGGACCCGGAAGACACGCCCACGCGCTCGTCGACGATCAGAGCCGCCGGGCCCGGCCGCATCCAGCTGCCGCCTTCGCCATACACGCCGGTCGGCGGTGACAGTGGACCCGCGTCCGGCGACGAGGATGGCGCTCGCAGCCAGAGGCGTAGGCACGGCGACGGCGGCGCGGACGCCGACAACAGGGACGGCGAAGACGACGCGACTGCGCCGTTGCCGTCGCTGCGTCCCTTTCGCCCCCGCGCTGCCAGCAGCAGCCCGAGCGTGTCCACGACCAACAACAGCCTCCGACCCCCCGGCCAGCGCAGGATGTCGTTCAAGCGGCGCATGCCCGCCAACCCCAATCCGCGTGCCAACTTCCTCCAGCGCGCATCGATGGGCGTCTTCCCGTCTCGAAAGGCGTCCGACGCCGGCAGCGAGGGCCAGCCCAACTGGCGCAGGATGCGCAGGGTGCACACGGCCAGCGTCCACCCGGCCGGCCAGGCCAGCGGCGACGGCGACGACCCAGACGGCGGAGACAGCGTGTGGGGCGACGTGCTCCCCTCCATCCCGCGCCTCCTGCCCTCGAGCAAGCCCGACCCGTACTCGACGCCCATCCCCACGCTGCCCTTTGTCGTCCTCTGCCTCGTCGTCTTTGGCGAGTTCAGCTCGGCGGGAGTCGCCGGCCCCTTTCTGTTTTTCATGATCGAAGACTTTGGCGTGGGCGGCGAGAGCGACGTCGGCTTCTGGGCCGGCATCGTCTCGGCGGCCTTCTTCTTTGCCCAATTCCTCACCTCGCTGATGTGGGCCTCGGTGGCCGAGAAGCGCGGTCGCCGCTTCGTCCTGATGGTCTCGCTCGTCGGCAACGCGTCCTCGCTCGTCCTGTTTGGCGCGTCCAAGACGCTGCCGGCGGCCATCGCCGTGCGCATGGCCCAGGGCTTTTTCAACGGCGCCGTCGGCGTCGCCAAGGGCGCCATCCGCGACATCACCGACGAGACCAACGAGGGCCGCGCCTACGCCCAGATGGGCTTCTACTGGGGCATGGGCGGCATCGTCGGACCCATCCTCGGCGGCCTGCTCGAGCACCCGGTGAAAAAGTATCCTGGCCTCTTTGGCGGCAACGCCCTTTTTGCCGAGTACCCCTACCTGCTGCCCTGCATGGCCGCCGCCTTCTTCACCGCCCTCGGCGCCTTTTTCTCGCTCTTTATCGGCTACGACGGCGGCCCGCGGACGGGCAAGATCCAGCTGCCGGAAAAGGCCGACGTCGGCCGCGCCACGAGCCAGATGGCCAGCAACGTGGGCAGCATCGGCAGGAGCGCCTCGAAGCGCATCAGCGGCTACTTTGGCGGCAAGACCGACGACGAGTCGCTCCTCAGCCTCTCGAGGACCAACACGCAGACCGACGGGCCCTCGACGCCGCGCGGCCTCGGGGGCAAGGCGCTCCCGCGCACCTTTACCCAGCAGGTCGACGAAGAGACCGGCGGCCCGCCCTCGCCCGTCGAGAGCGAGGCCCACACGGTCGTGACGCGCACCAACTACAACGACTCTGGCTTCGACCGCATCGAGTCGCAGTACCGGCCGCGCCTGTTTTCGCGCACCGAGGAGCGCCAGCGCAACGTCCTCGGCGGCGGCTCCGCCTACGGCTACGAGGCTCGCCGGCCGTCGAGGAGCAGCGCCGCCGCCTCGCAGCTACCAGTTCCGCACCGCCAGAGCACCTCGAACGCGCGCCAGGACTCGTTCGCCACGTCGCACGACCGCTTTCCCCGGCCCAGCTTCTCGTCGCAGACCGAGTACGCACCGGATTTCGAGGACATCGGAGCCCGGCCTCATCTCAACTTTGCGCAGCGCTTCCTTTTGGCCCAGGACGACTCGGTGTTTACCATCTCGGACCTGTGGGTGGCGGCTGCCATCAACGGCGAGGACGCCTACGAGGACGTGTTTGAGGACGACGAGGAAGACGAGGACGAGGACATGCTCGACGACGACGACGACGTCTTTGAAGAGGAGACGAGCAGCATCGCTGGCGCCTCGGTCGACCGCTCGATTGACGAAGAGGACGAGGACGAACCCACCGAGGGCTCGCCGCTGCTGGCGCCCAGGCACCTGCCGCCGCTCAACTTTGCGCAGCGCAAGCTGTCGCGCGCCGGCGCCCTGTCCGACGCCGGCCGCAGCGCATCGTCGTCGACGCGCCCGCGCTCCTACCGCCGGCCGAGCGGCGGGCGTGTGCCCAGCCTGTACGCCAACACGGGCATCGAGAGCCCGCTGCTGTCGCCGGGGGCCAACCTGAATCCGTTTTCGCCGTCGGCCTCGCTGGTGGCGAGCCCCTTTGGGCCCGCATCCACGACGCCGGCGCCCGGCGCACGGGCCGAGGGAGCGTGGGACCCGACGCTGGCGGGCATCCCGGAGACGCAGTCGAACCGCAACAGCCTGAGCGCCGGCACGGCCATGCTCCGACAGGGCTGAGCGGGCTGGCAAGGC